ATACTTATCTCTTTATGAAAAGATACAATTTTTTTAATTAGTAATTATATATATATGCATATTCAAAGTAATAATAATAAATTATTTATTTATTTTAATAATAATTTAACAATAATATTTATTTATTTTAAATAAATAAGTATTTGATTATAAAAATATTTAAATTATCCAAAAATATTATAATTATTAAATTGTATTTGAAAAATTTCACATCATAATTTTTAAGATATTACACTATTTGTTTTTATAATATGAATAATTTTATTTTTTAATTTTTTTTAAATTTTATTTTATTTCTGCACGTGCTAGTGTGATATGATACTATGATAAAATATCACTTTTTATCCAGTCATCTTTGACATATCAACTTTTATAAAGACTAAAAGATTATAAAATTTTAAAAAATTAAAATTAAAATGAATGAAATAAATTTATAAGATAAAAAAAGTAAGAATATTTAAAAGATATTAACTTCTAAACTTGTTTACAATAAAAATGATATATCTCTTTTTCTATGGGTCTTTGTTCAAGAAATAATACAAATCTGTTTAGAATAAGATTAACAACTTTTTTACGTATTTACTCTAATTTTACATGAAATTTATTGAAATGGGTAAATTTTGAAAATTTTACGGATATAGATAAGTTGTGTTAAGTGGGATGAATTTGTATCGAAAAAAATCATACTTTCTGTATGCTTTGGCACTATATATATATATATATATATATATTAAAGCAGATCATGCTACATTATATAATATTTTTATAAGATTATAGATTCATAACTAAAAAAAATTAAATTATAATAATAGTTAAAAAAGATAAAATATATTAATATTAAAAATAAAATATATAATATTATCTTTGTTTATGCATATATTTATTGTGATGATGACTTTTAATACAATAAAATAAATATTTTTTCATCTTATTTTAATTTGACTAATCCATTTTATGGTGGATGTGTCGTGATACACATTCTTTATTATTCATGTTGAGTTCAAAATAAAATTTAGATTAGTACAATGAAATCAATTTTTTCATTTGTAGGGATGAAATTAATACTTATAAGTTTTGAAAATTTAGGCTAATATGCACGTTGGATCAATATATGTATCAATCTACAAATGATATGTGGAACACAACTATAATATATAAACAAGGTAGTAGAAGAACTTGAAGCTCTCAACTATCACACCACTACTCATGCAATCTGATTATATACATTTGTGTTTGTCCACCATGTTGTGAGTTTGATAATTCTTTGACTTCAAACTAACAATTTTTTTCTACTATATCTTTACACATGATACATGTTAGCTCGTTGTTGGTGCTCTATGAGTAAGACAACAATTTCTTTTAGGCTCTTGTATCATACTCTAATATGGTCTCTACTTTCATGTTACGTTTGACAAACTACGATTTTATTATTTTAAAGGTGGTTTTGACTAGGATAAATATTGGTAAGGTCTGTGCTCCTTTTAAAATAGAGTTCATGTACTCTGCTAGATTAGTGGTCATATGTCCATATCTTTTTTCTCCATAATATACTTGTGTCCATTTTTCAAATAGAATTTGATCTAACCAAGAAGCATTTTGTTGAAACTCTAACCTCATATTAGATCATTTAGCTAGAAGTCATGGTTGTTTCATCTCATATACTGAAAAAAATAAAATAACCCAAAAAGTTATTAAATAAAATAACCTCATAACAAATAATTATTTGTCTTTTTAATTGGTAAATTTTTTATTGAAGTTTGAAGTTATATATCGAATGCAACATACTGAATATTCGTGTTTCACCCAAACTCTTATGATTATTGTTAATATTGTTGTACCTCTATCTATTATGATACACAAGGTTTATTGAGGTGTAACATATTGTTTCAATAATTGGAAGAACCAAATCAAAACGTCTTTTGTTTCCCCCTCAACTATTGCAAATACTAATGAACATAAATTTTTTATTTTCATCTTATGCAATAACGGTTAATAAAGTTCCATGATATCTTCTCGTTAAGAATGCCCCATAAACTTGAATAATAGGCTTGTAATAGTTGAATCCTTTAATACATGACTTGAAGGACTAATCAACTCTTGAAAAAATGTAACAAGATGGATCTTCCACTCCATCTATAAAAGAAGGGTTACCCATATATAGGACAACTGTATTAGGAAGAGTTTCTTCAATAGCTTGGAACCTTCTGAAAAGATGATTGTATGATCATTCCCAATCATCAAAAGCCATAGTAAGTATTTTGTTTCCCTAACTAGACTTTTTTGTAGTTAATTGAATAATCATGACGATTTTTAATAACCAGAATTTTTATAGGAACATAAACATTTGCTTTTACTAGTTCATAAATAATTTGAACAATTTCATTTGAGTCTAAAATTTGATGATAAAAAAATAACATAGTAGACAAATATGTGTGATTTGCTTCATTTTTTTTACTTTCCATTATTGACGCCTATTCCCATAATGGATACATCAAACAATATATCTATCAGACTTTAACTCAACTACAAAATATTTATAACCTTGCTTAATATGAAAATGTTTAATTACACTTATTGTTGTTCCCTTGGATTAAAAACACATTCCCTCATAAATAATTGCTTTTGAATTAGAAGATTGTGATTAGTGTCCACCACTTCTGATGAGGAAAGGATCCGTAATTTCATATTCTTCATCAACATGTACATCATCGTCATCTTCTTCATCAAAATCATAAATAATATCTCGTATAATTAGCTCTTGTCCCACTACAAGAAAAATTGAATTTTTTTATGGATAAAATCTACTGGTAACTAAGAAAATCTGTCTGTAAATAGATATTATCGACGGACATAAATCCATCAGAAATTGTGTTGTAGGTAAATTTTACCGACGGATATGTTCGCGGGAAATATCATGGGTAATTACTGACAAATATTTTCTTGGGTAAAGTTTGATAGGTGGTCTGTTATCAAAAGACTTATCGACGAATATATCCGTTTATAATTATCAGTGCTATTCTCCAACCATTTACCAACGGATTATCAATCGGTAATTCTGTCGATAAAACTGCCTCTATTAGAGTCATTATATTTTTGTCTCTTCCCATTTAACCTGTAAAATGGATAACATTCAATCCAGTCCAATTAAATAATTTATTCAATAATCCAATTAAACATAAATCTAACTCAATTTAATAATAAGTAAATTCAAATGTACTCTAAATTATGGACAATGAAACATAATGTACAATCCTAAAAAGAGGCTAAAGATACAAGTAAAACTGAAATATTATTCTATTATTGTTTGTATAACATTTAATAGTGAGAATCATCAGGAGAATGATGTTCTTATATGTTGTCTTCCTGCGGTGGTTATGTTGTTGCTCTTGATTCACTTCCTGTTGTTGGGTTGTTCTTCATTATCTGGTTTATATGTTGTCTTCCTGCGGTGGTTATGTTGTTGCTCTTGATTCACTTCCTGTTGTTGGGTTGTTCTTCATTATCTGGTTGACTATGTTGGCGCTGCTGAATGAGAGACTGTGCATTGAGGGGTAGAAATTGAACGACTACACCGACAAGGGATTGAAACTCTCTAAATTGGGGCTCTAGTATTTCGTTGTGCTCCCTTATTTGACGAATTTCTTCTTCTTGTGTAGACAATCATTGTCTTAATTGATTCATCTCTTCTAAGTCAATTGAGGAGCTGGATGCTTGAGTTTGATGCTTCAAGCTATCAGAACCACCCTGATAACCATGAGCAAGTTCTCCAATCTCATACAACCTTCCTTTGTTCTTACCTCCAACTGTATCCACCCAACAACGAGACCTTATAACTTGTGAAAGTCTAGTTTCAAATTCCTCCTATTAGTACAAACAAATAAATTATTAACATGATTATTGACTTTACATATTATAATATACAAAGTTTAAAGTCAAGGTACTCACGTGTGTCTTCCTAGATCTTTCATTAACAAATTGACCCGTTTGTCTCCTAATGAGTCTATTAGAAGATCTCATCAATAAAAACTTATCTTCCAAGCTCCTTTACCTACATTACATAAACAATTTGAGATATAAAACCCAATAAATATTTCAAAATCCTAAATATATGATTAAAAGACGTACCATATGCATGACATGCTCATGTGTGCTGATAGAGCCACTGTGTGAAGGCTCTCACCCTTTTCAGATGCCCTATTTTTTTGGGTTTGTGCACATTTGGAACGATACATTAGTGAGGTCCAATGTGCTAGCAACATGCTCAAACTTGATCTCCAATCCAGTCTGGTCTTTGACCAGTAATTCTTGCATCCCTAAACATCTCAATAAGTCTGTGAGATGCTTTGGAATGAAAATTCTTCTTTATTTGATGTTCATGCTCTACTCTCCACTGAACCTTCATCTATAAAAGTATAAATTGTTATGCACATTATAGAGAAATGATTACAAAACATATATTCAATAATTATAGATATATACATTAATGGAAATCAATAGTAACATTAAACTTCCTTCTAATAATTAAGTATGTACACAAGATTAAGTTACCTTAAAACATTGAAAAAAGGACTCCTTATCATTATTAGGTATCACTCCCCATGTGGTCCAAGACTGAAGAAATTGTTGTTTAATACTCTTTGTTATAGCTTGTGATGCAACTATGGACGAAAGAAACTTAATTACAAAGAAAAAGTAAAACAAGTTACGTATGTGCTGAAAATGACTAAATCTTGCAGATCCCAATCAATCAGAGACCAAAAGCTCAAAGAGAAACCAAACCAAACCAACAAAGACCTTATTCAGAAATCAATCCCATATTAGAATCAGGCAAAAAAAAATTCAACAAACATAAAATGGACTACATGGAATCAGGCATCGAGTTCAAGGTTTACAGGGAACTTGGCTCGCGACTTCTGCTTTGAGCAAAGACTCAGCGTTGCCAAAGTTGCCAAGAACGCATCAATTCCAGTGCGGTGATTGGGCTGGACTAGATAAAGTGGATGGGAGCTCGTCGCTACGTTGGTGGCTCATGGTGGTTTCGCCGCAGCTCCGATGAAGGGAGGTGTGGTGGTGCGATTCACGGTGAGGGCGAGAAAAACAATGGTGTGGTGGCTCGCGGAGGGGCTAGGGCTGCCGCACGCGACTCAGACGCGTCGATTTCGATGCAATGATTGGGTTGGATTAAAGAGAGTGGATGGGAGCTCGTTGCTGCGTGGGTGACTCATACTAGTTTGGGCGCAACTCCAATGAAGGGAGGTGTGCTGTAAGCTTTATGACGCGATTCACGATGGCGTGGTGGCTGTGGAATTGTCGAGGGAGGCCACGGTGGCTCGCGGAGGGGCTATGACTGTCGTGCACGGCTCATGATAGTCGTGGTTGGTCATGCGGTGGCAAATTTGGTGTTGAAATCGACGGAAATCGATGAGGTGCACGATGGGAATGAGGGGGAGAGGGAATTAGTGAGTCAGGAATGGGGGCTAGGTATTTTTTGGGTTGATAGAGAGTTAGCTTCTAATCACCCCACCCACGAACATTTCCGATAGATAAATCCGTCAATAAGAAATTGTTAATTTATCGATGGATAAATCAATTGATAATACAAATTTCTTCCACAACAAATATCCGTCGGTATAGTCCGTCGATAAAAAGTTTTCTAATCACCCCACCCACGACCATTTTCAATAGATAAATCTGTCAGTAAGGAATTGTTAATTTATCGACAGATAAATCCATTGGTAATACAAATTTCTTCTACAACAAATATCTGTCGATATAGTCCGTCGATAAAATTTTATATTTTGACTGATTTAAATCTGTCAGACAGTTTTTGTCGGTAATTAACAATTTTCTTGTAGTGTCCAGATGATATTGAATTGCAACCACCATAAAATATATCCATTTGGGAAAATTATATGAAGACACTATGTATTCTTTTCAATATTCATATTTGATGCATTAAATTAACTGCATAACATGTATATTTATACCGAGGTACATGAGCGTGGCAAACTAGGGTGTGTGTGTGTGGTAGAGTGAGGAATGGGCAAAGTCATGTCATGTGACACAAGAGTCCCGTACATGATTAATGAGTCAAAAGTGAAGTCGTGTCACATCACACGATTTTCTCGTACATTGTAAAGTGAATTCGTGGTACCTCAGACGATTTCACTGTATAGTCGTACCAACTCAGACAACTTTGGTATAGAGTTGTGCCACTGTCAAAGGCAAAATCGTCTTAGGTCAAATGACTTTCAAGTAAAGTCATACTAGCTAGCACAACTTTTGTGTAACCCAACGTTAGATTCCTTCTCACATGCATTAAGTGTTATGAGTGAAATGAATGTGAATTGATTGTTAGGATTGAGCTAATCTATATAATCGGTGTCTGGGTCTCATCTTCCACTAGATGACATCCAAGTAAAGTCATGCTAGCTAACACAACTTTTACGTAACATAAAGTTGGATTTCTTCTCGAGTATATTGAGTGTTACGAGTGAAATGAAGGTGAATTAATTGTTGGGATTAAGCTAGTCTATATAATTGGTGTCTGGGTCTCATTTTTTACTAGATATTCTCCATCTTTCTCATCATGTATTCATGCGTCTTCTCCTTCATTTTCCTATAATCTTCTTCAAGTTCATCACTTCTTCCAAAGCACAATTTCATTATTTGAGTTAATAAGTTACATCCTGGGTTCATAAGCCAGTTATGGTTCCATCACTCACTCATTATTTAGTTTTAAAATATTATTTAGTTTCACATGCTATTTTATAATATTTTCATATTATTTATTGTAATATATTATTTACTATATTATATTATTTACGATAGTATATATATATATATATATATATATATATATATATATTATAATATTTTGCTTAGATATAATATTTATTTTCATATTATTTATTATATTATAATTAATTATAATAATTATTCTATATTATTTACAATGTAATATTTATTTATTGTAATATATTATTTACTATATTATATTATTCCTTCTATAATATTTACTATACTAATTGTATAGTAATATTTATTATAAAATTATTTATGATATAATATATATTAGTTTATTTCAGTTATAATATTTATTTTGATATTATTTACTATATTATAATTAATTATAATATTATAATATTTATTGTAATATATTTTTTATTATTATATTATATTATTTATTCTATAATCTTTAGTATAGTAATATTTATTACAAAATCATTTACGGTATAATATATATATATATATATATATATATATATATATTATAGTAATTTATTTAAGGTATAATATTTATTTTCATATTATTTATTGTATTATATTAATTATTTTATATAATTTATTGTGTTATATTTATTGTAGTATATTATTTACTATATTATATTATTTATAATATATAGTATAAAATTATTTACAGTATAATATATATATTATAATATTTTGTTTTAGATATAATATTTATTTTTATATTTTTTATTATATTATTATTGTATTATATTAATTATTATATATTATTTATTGGGTAATATTTACTATGTAATATTTATTATATTATATTATTTACTTTATTATATTATTTACTCTATTATAATCTTTTATAGATATGTCTTTGTTACGTTTACAAGACAAACACATAACGAAAGCAAGATAGGAGGGAAACGAGTGAGTAATTTGTCAAAAACGCCACACAATATAATTAACTAAACATTCTCATATTCTTAATGATGAGTATTGAATTTTATACAACAAGCATATTTTCAACCCTTGTTAAAAATTTAAATATTGATGTCAACCACGACTTTATAATGGTATTAGTAGAAAGATGGAGATAAAAAATTCATACATTGCGTCTTTCCATTAGTGAAACAACTATAATATTGGAAGATGTCGTCCTATAACTTGGTTTTCCAATTAATAGAGAATGTGTTACTAGTCCCAAAAATGGTTATTTGACCTCTTTTGTGAATCTTTCTTGGTTAAATGCGTCATTCCAACAACTTTCTTTTGACGTTGATAATGTTATTGCTATTTTGTGCATCATAAGAAGTTTATATATGATAGGTATATCAACTTCTCAAGTTCACATCTTTTACTTTTGCAAGATTGTGCCTAACTATAACTAGGGATTTGTTGTACTTGATTGTCTTTATTAAGATTTGGACCATGGAGTTGACCCTCATCGAGAAAATATTGGAGGTTGTATGTTACTTCTTCAATGATGGACATGAGACCAAATTGCATGTCTTTGTCCACCTATTGAAGATTTAACTGATCAAGATATTGATGCAAGAAATGATTTTCTCCTAACAAGAAGGTATATGACGTTTGATTTACCTTTGTCATAGAGTATTTTTATGCATTTCTTTATAAAATTATTCTTTACCTTAGGTGGTTTTGACCTAGTCAAAGGTTAGATATCCTACATACTTTATACATATAGTACGATACATGTTGGATAAATTATTTCTAAAGGAAGTATTATAACAATATCCTCTTATTTGTTTCACAATTGTTGAGTTTCATTAAGTTAATTGAGTCATGAGACAATTTGGTTTACGGAAAAATATTTTTCATGATCCAATGAACATAGATGAACTTCATAAAATAGATATGAGGGGTATATGGGTGTCAATTCAACCCATGAGCCAACCTTGCTCACTGGATTGGTTGAAAAAAATTTAAATTTTTTAATAGTGGGTTAAAGTGAGCCTGACTCACTTAACCCATGAGTTAAATGGGTTCAAGTCGGGTTGGTGGTGGGTTGACTAATTTTTTCCAATCTTTAATATTCTAATTTTTCTTACCCATGTGTTAGTGAAAATCCATGAAGAAAAAAATATTTTAGTGAGTCAACCCACCTACCCACTTATGTTAGTAAGTCAACTCACCTATTTTAGTAATTTAAGAAGATACAAAATAATTAGAAAAGATACATATTTAAGTGGGTTAATTCACCATCCTGTGATGGGTCGAGGCAGATTATAAAATTTTTGGCTCACTAAAAAATTATTCAAGTTGAACTAACAATTTTTTAATGTCACCTGTGGTGAGCCAACCCGACTCACACATGTTGGCTCACTTTGACAACCCAAGAGGAAAAAATACAAACATATTTTAGCCACATTATCATCAATAGTAGATTGTGTTGTGGAATAACCAACATAATCGACTAATCGAAGGTCAATAGTTCTCGAAAATTGACATTTGCGTGAAAATAGATTTGATATGCAATGATATTTTCAATGCATTATACGGCGTATTTGTTGGAAAATTCAAGTATGAGTCTAAGTCCCAAATTGTGTAAGAATGAGGAAGTTAAACAACATATAAGGAAGAAAGACACATCACTTAATGATTTAAGATTTTGGGTTGCATGTGGTGTCAATATCTTATGTGAGACGGACTCATATATCATTATTGTTGTCTCTCTCCATTGAATCTTTCTTCGAAAAACCTAACAATATTTTCATTCAAGAGCATATGTTGGTTCATCTAGTTACCAACAATCTCTTCAATAAAGTTGACCTATTTAGTTTTCAGCAACCTGATCTGTCAACTTATCAACAAGTTGGTCAATCTAGTTTTTAACTTTTTATTCTAGAGTTATGTGGATCATCTTCAAAATCTTGCAGGAGGAAGTTATTTTGGAGGACATGTCCCTTACGTATTTAATGTGATGTCTTCTAGATCAAATATTTTGCCACCTCTTACATAACACTCATCTTTAGCATATCATCAAGTTGAATCTACGAATTTTTATCAACTAACAATGTCAACACTTCAAAATCTAACTCAAGAAGAAGAATATGATGATGGTGATATAGAAGCACAACGAAAGCATTTGTCCCCGACAAAACAAATGATATAGATGAAATAAAAGAATAGCACCTGTGGAAGAGGCTCCCCACACTAAATTATTTATTCTTCACCTTTGTGTTATGTTATTTTGTATCATGTAATTATTTATATTAATATTAATGTATGTCATTTTATTACCTCCTCTTATATTTTAATTTTTTTTAACTTAAAATGTGATAAATAACAAAATATTACACATCATATCATTTTATAATTAAATTAAAATAAAAAAAACTTAAAAAAGCATGAATTAAAAAAATAAAAAATCAAAAGTTATGTTAGGTGGTAACCCAGACGCAACTATGACTTTAGATGAGGGGCAACATATAAATATTAAGCACAGTAAAAAATAAATATATTCAATATTACTAATTAAATTTAAATTTAAAAAAATAAAATTTTATTTTATCTATCTTTTTTATTTTTAAAAACTGAATCCATAATTTTATTTTTAGATATTCAAATTTTAACATCAAATTAGAGTATCATAAAATATTAAAATAACTATCTAATTTATAACAAATAAAAAAAATTATATTAATATTTCATATTTTTATATTACACTACATATTAATTTGTTATAAGATAAAATAAAAATAATAAAAAAATAAATTTGTTTACTTTTTTTATTTTTAAAAAATTATTATGAGATATTTCCTTTATTTATTTTTATTTCCTTATACTTTATTGAACAAAAGACAAAAAAAAAATTAAAAAATTAAAGAATAAAAAATTACAAATTTTATTTTAGAGAGATAAAATTATAAAGAAAAAAAAATAAAAAAACTAAAGAAAAAAAATTATAAGTTTAATGTTACAAGGTAAAATTGTAAAAGAAAAAGTATGAAAGTAAATGAGTGATAAAAATAAAATATAGAAATATAAAAAGATAAAATTGTTGTTAATACTAAAAGTTGAAGTGAAAAAAATAAAAATGTAAGAAAGAAAGATAAAAATCTAAAAATAGTAAAAAGAAAGATAAAAAAAGTGTAAGTGAAAAACCACATAAAAAATGACATTTATTATAAATAAAAATTAAAAAAAAAATAAAAAAAAATATATATATATATATATATATATATATAATATTTATTTAATTTAAAAATTAATTATACTTATAAACCTCCTCTGCGTTGGGGGCATGACCCCTGCTGTTATTTATGGTGGTCATAATATTTTCATTTCTAAAGCACATATAAAACACACTGTTTTGAAATGAAGATTCAAATTACTGAACTTTCATACGGAAAAATTGTCATTAGTGTAAGTCATGTCCAACTGGGTTATCATTGGTGCTTGTCCACCAAAACAAAGGTTTTCATTGATGCAAGTTGACCTTGGTAATCTACTATCTCTTCAAATGAGTCAGTCAGTGATGAGGGAAGACAAAGCAAATAAATGTGATAAAGACACAAATAGCTATGATCCATTCAGTCACCTTCAATTACAGAACTGTTAAATTAAAGACACTTCCTTTCTACCTATCAACTCTCCAATCTCAACATTACATATATACTTCATTCACACAATACAAAATCACAAACACTAGCACTTTTATTACATCAAACAGGGGAATAGGGTGGCTCCCCATCAATTTTATTCAGTTCTAGAGGGATGAGAGGATCTGCTTCAGGTGTTAAATAGTCTAAGAGGAGGGTGGTTTCATTTCAGATTTAATGGCATCCACGAGCTGATCATAAGCTTCTCCCCATGCATTCTTCATCTCTGGAGACCACATTTCAGGTACAGCTTCTTTTATGGTCTCCAAAAGTGCAAACTTTGTCACCTGAACAAAAACCAGAGAATATAATAAAATATATACATTAGTCTTCTACAGAACTACTCCCTATAAATAAAATGATAAACTGATATAACTTTGTTTTATCAATTGATTTAATAATGCTCAGTCATTTGAAACAGAGTCTTGCCATAACTAGCTTATGCCAAACTTTTAATGTAACAAATGATAACATAATCAGATACCAGCAAATATCATTTTTAGTATAAGTTGACACTAGCTAATAAACAATGTTTAATAAGTCAACCATACTCGTGTTAAAAGTTTACTATATACCTCAAAATGCTCGTTTGCAACACCAGTTCTAAAATGGGTAGCACCTAGTTTTTTCAAGTTTGATTCTCTGACAGTGACTTTACCAGCCTTCCGCAGTTGAACTGCTGAATCACAGGTCTGCAATAATATATAATATAGTAATGGCTTAGTTAATAATTATCCGGGAATTTAGTTTAGAATTAATTTAATTTTGGCTTACCATTACAAAGACAGACATGGCATGGGGCTTGAGCTTGGGGTTTTGGTCCAAAGGAACGGTGGAATCTCTCAAGAATGAGAACAATTTCTGAGCTGAGGGAGCAATCTCAAATATTCTACCATGTTTGAAGCCTTCCATCAGTACAGTTGTTTAATGTTTTGAGAAAGAGAAAAGGTTTGAATAAAAAAATGGCTTACTTCAAGAAAAACTTGAGACCCAACTCTCCAGAATTCTTCTTCATTACGCTCCATGATTTCACCACCAGAGCTTCTTGCTCTTCCGTGAAACCTCTTCCCAAGGAGTTCATGTTGTGCAGTATGCTAAGGTATCTGTTTTAGGATTGTGACTGCAGTGGAAGTGAAGGAGGAAAGAAATGGTTGATATTGTGGCATGGTTTGGTAAAGTTTTTATAGTGGGATTCATGGAAAGTGAAGTTGGCCTTTCATTGCAATGGCGAGTCATTCCCATTTCTCAAGTTTTCTTACTCAACTTGGTTTCCAAAACAGTAAAATATATTCAAAGAGTCAATTTGGTTCATTCATGGAACCTTTTGTTGTATATCCAGATGTACAGTTGCAACGTGGAATACAAGGATCCCAAAAACCAGGGGCTGCTTATGGTTTGGGGCAGTCAAAATGGTGGTGTGGTTGAATTGGCTTAGTCTTGACCACACCCTGCGTAAGCCATGATCAAATCAAATCACATTATTTTATGTTTATATGCTTCACAATATTTTTTATCTTTTTCTTCTTATCATCTTATAATTACTACTTATCACATTTCTCTTCTCTTTTTACCTACATATTCCAACAACCATCTCCTAATTAAATTGCATTGCTGTGTTATCGAGTAAATTTTGGATTAATTAAAAATAAAAATTATTAATATATTTATATTAAAACAACTAATTAAAAATATTTAAATAAAAATATATTTTCAAAATATAATTTAAGATTTAATATTAAAAATAAGAGTTAAACATTTATTTTTATTTTTTTAGTAATTTATTAATTTAAAATAATAATTAATTATTAGATTTTAAAATAAGTGATTATAAAAAAGTTATTCTAATATTTATTCTTAGAATAAGTGAATATTTTATCCATTAATTTATAATATATATATATATATATATATATTAATAAAATAATATTATTTTTATTTATTTTTAAAAATAACATTATTTTATAAAATAAATCAATTCATTAAGTTTATGATAACTAATCTAAATACATCTGAGTCATATTTAACCAAAAATAATTTTAATATACATCATAAATTATTTTGAAATTGGATTTTTCATATAATAAATCTATTTTTACATCTACCAAATCCAACAAAGAAATAAAAATATGAAATTGAAATAAAAGAGAATAAAAGAGACAAAGTAGATGTTTCATTAAATGTTGATAACAAAACAATTAAAAATAAATTATTTTATATATTATTATAAATTATATAAAAATTAAAATCATATGACTCAAAATTACGTGACACTTAAAAGAACTAAACGAATACAGTATAAATAAATCTAACATACTTAACATATATTTAAAATAAAAATTAAACATATATTGTAAATCTAAATTTTATTTTTTTATTATTAATTATCATTTAATTATTATTATTATTATTGTTTGAATAAAATTATTTTACCTAAAATTGATTTTAAAGTTAAGTAATTTATGTTTAAATTTTTCATAAATTATTATTATTAACCCTATAAAAGTAGATGTTATGAAAATGCTTTATGTTAATTTAAATAAACAATATTATTTTTTTTGTGACATTTCTATTTTTAAGATTTCCGTTCCAAATTATAATATATATATATATATATATATATATATATATATATATATATATGTATATATATAAGGTTGATGGAAAATAGCGAAACTCAATATAAAATTTTATTTGATACAAAAGCTATCTAAAGTCATTTTAACATAAAAATGATTTTAGACTTCTAATGCTTAGAAAACATATAAACATATATCTAAAGTAACGCAAGTTATATTTTAACGTAATTTTGATTAATTTAACGTTAATTAAACATGCAGTAAGTTTGTCTAGCATGGGCTGCAGTGAAAGGAATGAAAAAGGGAAATAAAAAAGTTGTAACAATCATCTATTATTATTGGGAATAGGGGAGGATTCTTTCTCAGAATCATTTGTTCTGGAAAGATATTTATGCTAAGATCAAAGATTAAACTATGCTGAACAAATATTTTACAGAGGGTATCAATTCCTTAATTTTCATGCACAACTTATTTATTGACTAATTCTCACTTTGTAAGAGTTAAGATCCCTTTTCCAGTGCAAGTTCAGAGACTCCCTTCCCCTGTTTCCAACAAAACAAAAGCCCCACATAACTACCTTCAATGTTCACCCACTCAACCAGAGAAACATATAATCAACAAGCACAAAAACAAACACAGAGAGACACATGGATACGTTTGTCTCTAATCAAAACAAAATGTGCAGAACTTTGATGACAGCATGACATGTCCCCTCATATACTTCTTCATTTACCTCTCCAAAATCCAAAATTAGTATAATATAAAATCTAAGTAGATGCCTTTTTCGTCACCAAAAAACTGTTTGTTACACCTCATATTCATATTATTCAATAAAATAACTTTCTGCATTATTAGTTGAGGAATAAGAATTACAGATCCTGAAGATATGCAATCCGTCAGAACAAATCCTGAAGATATGTGCGATCAGATAATACATATACGCAGCCTTGTGATTTGGTCTTGAATATATAATCTTTTTGTGATTTTGTAATCTGTAATCCTGATTTGTAGCCACAATTCTAGAGATATTATATTAGTAATCATGAGTATCCTTTTTGTTACACTCCACACCACCTTCAATTACAGAATTTTTAAAATCTGAACATAGATATATTATTTTCCATAGAAACGAGAAGTACAGACCCAAAGACCACCTCGTCAATCTTAATGAATTAGAGAGACAGGAGTTGGAGTCTAAGAGGAGGGTTTGATTTCAGATTTGATGGCATCAGCCAGCTGATCATGAGCTTCTTCCCATGCATTCTTCATGGCCGGTGACCACATTTCAGGCACTGCTTCTTTGATGGTCTCCACCAGTGCCAATTTTGTTACCTTAACAAACCAAAAGAATGAACCATGCATTAGTCTTCAACAAAGTACTCTATATAAATAAACAAGCCAAAAGCTATGCAAGATTGACAAAAAGTGCTGATATATGCACACGTTTATTATATTATTTTACACCACTCTCATGCATTTGAATGAAATCTTAACCCTGACATAATCAAAAACTTAATGCAAAGATTAATATAACAAATATGACCAATTGTCATTTTCAACTTTTATATAGGTTGATAGTTGACACTAACACTAACAAATAAACCATCTTTTTCAGCTATATATATATATGCTCAGCTGCTACACCGGCTTTAAAATGAGTAGCACCTAATTTTTTCAAGTTTGATTCCCTCACAGTGACTTTACCAGCTTTCCTCAGTTGAGCAGCTGATTCACAGGTCTGCAATAACAAAAAAAAATTGATAACAACAGACACAATATTATGTAATTTATGATGGGTTGTTACCAAATATCATCATAGTAGTGTTAACACGGAATTCTGTCAAATTAGTGTTGTTAAATTGCTATCCAACCAAATAGTGGTGGTGTGAAATTAATTTATGATAAATGTGAAATGAATGAAGTAATAAAATTACCATGATAAAGACAGCCATGGCATGGGGCTTGAGTTTGGGGTTTTCCTCCAAAGGAACGTTTGAATCTTTCAAGAATGAGAACAATTGCTGACCTGCTGGAGCAATCTCCAAGATTCTAAATGTTAAATTGAAGTCATGTAACAGTGTAAGTGTAATTGTTCAAAAACATGCACTGTGTTGTGTTAATTACTACTTGGTGATAAGGTTGAAAGAGTAGAAGAAATCAAAAGAGGCTTACTTTTTGAAAAACTTGAGACTGAGTTCTCCAGAATTTTTCTTCATTGCTTCCCATGATTTCACCACGAGAGCATCTTGCTCTTCCGTGAAAACATTGCTTCCCATGTTCTCAAGTATTTTTTTGTATTGGTATATGCTCAACAGTTACTCTATATATATGACTGTGATATGATGGAAGTAATTGATCTTGTGGCTTGCTTTTACAGTGAGATTCCTTCAAGATGAGGTTGCCCCTTCATTGCAATGGGTGGCATAATTGAAAAATATAGAATTCATTTTATAATTTTTATTCATATTATTTTTGTACACATATACTATGATCTTATAGTATTTTACTCTAACAAATCAGGACTAAATATAGGAAGTTCTGATTATACAATATTTTGTACCGCTATACAAACCTATAATTTAGCTAATCAAATATTTTTATCCCAACACTTCCCCTCAAGTTGGTAAATGGATATCATACATTCTCAACTTGTCCAATAATCTCCTAAAAATCTGACTTGCCACAGCTTTGGTAAGAATGTCTGTCAACTGATCTTCAGATTGAATATTTGGTAATTCCAAAATATTTTTATCACGTTTTTCCTTGATGAAAAATCTATCAACCTCCACATGCTTCATCCGATCATGTTGGACAGGGTTGTGAGCAATGTCACGCGCAGCTTTATTATCACAATACAACTGAATGAGACGTGTATGTGCATACCCTAAATCCTGAAGAAGTAGTCTGAGCCACAAACATTCACAAAGTCCAAGAACCATTCCTCTAAGTTCAGCTTCTGCACTGGATCTAACTACAACTTTTTGCTTCTTTCTTTTCCATGTGACAAGATTACATCCTACAAATGTAAAGTATCCAGAGGTTGATCTTCTATCATCAAGAGCACCTGCCAATCTGCATCAGTATAAATCATCACATCCTTGTAGTTGGAGTTCTTCTTGAACATAACTCCTTTTCCAGGAGCAGCTTTTATATACCTTAAAATCCGTATAACAGCATCCATGTGTTTTTCACCTGGATTGTGCATGAACTGGCTAACCACACTAAGAGCATAAGCTAAATATGACCTAGTGTGTGAGAGATACATCAATCTCCCTACAAGTCTCTGATATCTTCCCTTGTTAGTTGAAGTTTGATCTTCTTCAATGCACAACTTCAATCCCTCTTCAATTGGAGAATTTGCTGGTTTGCATGCTATCATTCCAGTTTCTTTTAGTAAATCCAATGCATACTTTCGTTATGAGAGAAAAATACCCGACTTTGATCTTGAGACCTCAATTCCAAGAAAATATTTCAAAGGACCAAGATTCTTTATCTCGAATTCCTTTTCCAAGTACTCTTTCAATGCCTTGCATTCCTCTAGATCGTTTCCCGTAACTATCATGTCATCAACATAAACAATAAGAATTGTAATCTTTTCTTCCTTTTTCTTTAGAAACAAGGTATAATCTTGGTTGCTCTGTTGGTATCCAAAAGCAAGCATTGACTTGGTGAATCTACCAAACCATGTTCGTGGCGATTGTTTTAGTCCATACAATGACTTCTTCAACTTGCATACCTTCTTGCTATGTGTATTCGGGATCCCACATCCTTCTGGTAGCTCCATATAAACTTCTTCAGACAATTCCCCGTGTAAAAAGACATTTTTTACGTCAAATTGTTGTAAGGACCAATCAAGGTTTACAACTAGAGATAACAATACTCGAACTGTACTAATTTTAGCTACGGGAGCAAACGTTTCAGTGTAATCTATTCCATATGCTTGTGTGTACTCTTTGCCACTAATCTAGCTTTGAATCTCTCAATTGTGTCATCTGCATTAAATTTCACAGTATACACCTATCGGCATCCTACTGGTTTCTTTCAAACTGGACAATCTACTAATTCCCATGTTTTATTTCTTTGCAAGGATCTCATCTCCTCATTCATAGCATCCTTCCACCTGGAGTAAGCTAAAGCTTCCTGCACACTGTTAGGAATAGATACAGTAGATAATTGACTTATAAATGCGATATTTGAGTTAGACAAATTCTGGTTACAAACATAATTACTCATAGGGTATCTTGTATTACTGGTGAGGTCAGGATCATAAGTAGGCTTAGGGATACCTCTAGTGACACGATCTGACAGAATTCTTTTTTCTGTATTAGGTTCTGGAGGGGACGATTGGTGTGGTATATCATTAGCATCAACAGGAAAATTTTCGATCTCAACATGCTCAAAATCTTCCTCATTATGTGGTTATTGATCATAACATTGTTGCATACTTTCATCGTCTCTTGATACAACTTTGTAACTTTCTTTCTCCAATCTGATCTCAATATCAATTTCTTGAGGAACAAAAGTTTGAACTTCATCATAATTCTCCCCCTGAATTTCAGACTCGGGGGGAAAATATATCAAGGTTTCATGAAAAACTACATCTACAGTAGTAAACATTTGTTTGGTTTGTGGATTGTAGCACCTATATCCTTTCTGGTGATCCGCATAACCAAGGAACACACACCTTTCAGCTCTAGGAGACAACTTACTTCTCTGATGCTTGTGTAAGTGAACATAAACAACACAACCAAAAAATCTATGTGTTAGTTCAACAATTTTAGGACTTACTACTGCATCTGTAAGTGATTGAAGAGGTGTTTTATATTCAAGAGACCTGGACGGTGTTCGGTTGATAGTGTATACTGCATATGTGAGAGCTTTTCCCCAATATATTGCTGGCATGTGAGCTCCAATTAGTGCAGCTCGGACCACCTCCAATAGATGACGGTTCTTTCGTTCTGCCACCCCATTCTGTTGTGGAGTACTTGGACAAGATCTTTGATGAACAATTCTTTTGGCTACTAAAAAATGTTGAAGTTCTGATTGCATATATTCTCTTCCGTTGTCACTGCGCAGTACCTGAATTTGTGTTTTGTACTGGGTCTCAATCATTTTGCAGCATTTCTAAAATAGTCCTCCAACTTCACTTTTAGACTTCATCAAACATAACCAAGTCATTCGAGTACAATCATCAATAAACGTTACAAACCACGTTGAGTCACCCAACGTTGTAACCTTAGATAGACCCCATACATCAGAGTGAATGATCATAAAAGGAAGAGAACTTTTATTTAAAATTAAAGGAAAATGTGTTCTATGACTCTTTGCAAGCTCACAAACATCACAATAAAAAGTTGAATTGTCTACTTGGTCAAATACATTTGGAAATAATTTCTTTATGTAACCAAAAGATGCATGTCCTAGACGCTTATGCCATAACCAGATATCCTCGCCTTTTCTTACTTCTTGAGACCCTTTTGTTGCTAGCACTTGACCAAGTATCTTTGAATCTTTTTCTGTCAGGTCCAGGTAATACAACCTTCCTCGCCTAATACCACAACCAATCGTCTTCCTCGTTTGAATATCTTAAAAACACAAGAGTCAGGCCCAAAAAGTATAACACATAAAAGAGCTTTGGTTATTTGCGAGACTGACAATAGGTTATATTTAAGAGAAGGAACAACAAGGACAATATCAAGATTCAAATTATTTGAAATAGAGACAGTTCCTTCTCCAATAATAGTGGATTTACTACCATTGGTTGTGGATATACTTTTTTGTGAGGAAGGTTTAAGATTTTTAATTTGTCTAGCATCAAAAGTCACATAATCAGAACATGCAAAGTCAATTATCCATGCATTATTCAGAACGGTAGATGTGCTTATTAAAGCCTTACCATTAGAATCATCACTACCTGCAATTGTAGCAAACATCATGCCTTTGTCGTCCTCTTTGTCAATGACAGTTACAGTAGCAACAATTGAATTTCTTTTTGAATTCTTCTTCGATGTTCGACTGTGATCCTACCACTCAGGGTATCCTATGATTTCATAGCATCGTTCCTTGGTGTGTCCATCCTTATTACACTTAGTACACTTGTAGTTACCTTTTTCAAAATCTTTTGATTGCTTCGATTTGTTGTGGTGATTTGTTGGCTGCTTCTTTGTCATCATAACTGTGGAATTAGAAATCATATCTTTTGTTTTCAACGTTGTTCGTCGGACTGTCTCTCTCCAGATCAATGCATAACATTCTTCTAAATTAGGTACCACTTCTTTGCGCAAGATTTCTCCACGAACTTGCTCAAAATCATCATCTAGTCCAGTAAGGAATATATGCTCCCTTAATCTTTCAATGAACTTCTTATATGACTTCACATCATCAGGGTCCTTCATGACTACTTTGTCACGATGGTCCAATTCCCTAAAAATCTCAACCAACACCCCATAATATTCAGTTAAGGTTCTATTATTTTGTTTTGTAGTGAATGTCCTTTGATTCAGGACAAACACCTGTAACTCATCACTTCCATCATAAAATGTCTTTGACAAAGCATTCCAAATATCGAGGGCAGTGGGTAAGCAAATATACCTTTTTATAATTTCTGGCTTCATGGACATCAATAGTCATCTTTTCACTTTTTGGTTTTTAGCATACCATTTTTCATATCCCTCATCGTTCTCTGTTGGAGGTTTCACCTTCCCACGGATATAGGACAATTTTTCCCTCTCTGTAATGTGCATTTCCATTAGTTGTGATCATATGTCATAGTTGGATTCATTTAGGATGATGTCTGTGTTGAAGACACCTTCAGATTGAACAACCATTGGAATTAATTTTTCTGTCATCTCTCCAGTTAAGATCTCTAAAGATTTTGAAAAAAAAGAAGAAGTTTTAAGCTCTGATACCAAATTGAAAAACATAGAATTCATTCTATAATTTTTATTCATATTATTTTTGTACACATATACTATGAACTTATAGTATTTTACTCTAACAAATCAGGACTAAATATAAGAAGTTCTGATTATACAATATTTTGTACAACTATACAAAACTATATATAAAACTATATATAGGCACGTTCTTTGATTGTGATTGTTTCAAGAAAAAAAAATTTAAATAATCACCGTATCAATAAGGTGGGAAAAGAGGAATATAAAATAACAAAGGTTGGACTGAAACTATTATATTAGAACGATAACTTTGCTTCATGTCAATCCATTTTTAATATTAGACTTTACAGTTTATTAAAAAGTATTGGGGAAGTCCCATTTCACATGTTTACAACCTACATTGTTTATTTAATACACTAACAACTCAAATATTGTTGAAAGAAAAACAAATCCAGACTAACTACGCTAATCATATCATAAAAGCATTGGTAATTTTTTTTTCAATGACTATTAGGTAGAACTATTTTAAGTTAAACCAAATGACACGGATTTCATTTTTTTTTTTTTTGAGCTTTTAATAGATTTTATCAAATAACAAAAAATGTATAATAAAAAAATGAGAAGGCCTATTTGTGAAAAACAAAAATACTCCCAATAAATTAATATCATTTCTAAAATGCTATTAAATTTTTAATTTCTTAAAGAATTACTGTTTTAGGTAAAAAATTTAAGATAAATACATGGAAGAATATCTCTTACAGTGAAAATGCACATTCATAGGATATTATATATGCAATTATACCACAGAACAAAATCTCACAATATGAAATAAGAAAATATTAAAGTGTGCTAAGGCAAGTCACGTGGCAATGCTTTAATCGCATAAAACAAGATATATTACAAGTCATATATATAATAACACCTCAGGACAAACATTAATTCATACTTAATCTCAAGATATACCCTATGTGTACTCTCATCAAACGATGAGGCACAGCTTTGACACGTTATCATAACTTTCGAAAACAGTGTTACAGGAAAAAAACATCACACCCTTAATGATAAAGGTTGTAGTGACGTGCAGACAAATATGCAGTAATCCAGAGCATATTTTTCAAGTAAGTGGCCTCAGATAAAAATTTCTCCCATTTTCAGAATAAATGATCAACTGCATCATCTACCAAAACCAAGACAGTCACCCACTGAATATAATAATTTAAACAGCATATTGACAGAAAGTAGGACAAAGAAACAGGAAAAAAAAAAAAAAAAAGGAAAAGAGAGTGAAATGATATACAATGCGGAGTACAAAAGCCATTGTCAACCACATCCATAGTTTATATCAGGTGTAGCAGCAACAGCTGAAAATGGAATTTCAACTCTCTCTTTTACTAGGCATCGAGCTTCCCCATTTTCCCACACCAGAATTCTCCCAGGTGGACACTGAAGACTTGATCTCTCATCCCCACTTTTAGTCGTAGATCTGTCCACATCTTCTACTCTGTGACGCCAGCCTTGCACGCTGAAACGGGCGCCTAACTTAGGCCCAAAACCAGACAAACTTAATATTGATACCACGCCAACTACCGTGAGCATTGTTTTGGCTACAGAAGTTATAAAAAATCCAAATCCTTTTCTCGAATTTTTAGCCTCTTTTTCAACATCATTCTGCTCTTTTTCACTGGGATTCTTGTTCGCCTCAATCAGTGGATCGTGAGCGATTAACCCATTGCGACCAGACTTGTTCACCACGGAAGGAATCTGCGAGAGATATTCCTTGTCCATAGACACAGCGTATGGAGGGCGGCTAGGATATGGAGGAAGTAGTAGATCATTGTTGGGCTCCACTGTTTCACTAGCAAAAGTGGAAGCTTCTTGTATCACTTCCAATTCCTTACCTTTGTACTCCCTGAGCTTGTCAATTAACATTTTGCGACTGTTTTCAATCTCAGCCAAGGCAATTTCTCTTTCATATCGCTGTTGTTGTTGCAGAACCTGTAAATAGTACACAATACATATCATTCCCAAATTATTATCCCAATCATAATTTGATCATTTTCTCATAGCAAAGCATAAAAGAAATCAGAAAAAACTTTTAAAATCATCTTATAAGCACCAATACAAGTTGAAGAACCTAAAAACACAAAATCATATTCTATCATAAAGTAGGAAAGAGAGTGAAGGACAGAAGGCATACTGATCACATAGCTCCAAACTCCAACGAGTAAAGTTTCACTTCACATTGTGGATTTGCAAGGCCAAGAATGAAGAAACCAGTAATTTAGAATGTAAATGTGCAATGCAAGGAAAAACTGTATTTGTAAGAAAACACAAACGTAAACACACCATCTTTTCACAATAATCTACTCAAGCATCTAATGCAATCCGGGCAGTTTAGTTTAAGAAATGATTTCTGTTTTCAGTTTTTATTACCAAAATACCACTCTATTTACTATTTTCAAGAGTCTGCATAAAACTGATAAAATAATGAAAAGCTTATTAGTATAAAAACCCTTACAAACATGAAAGAAAACGTAAGGTGGTATTTTCTCAATCCATGAAGCAACTAAAATATCCTTGGATGCAAATACACTGCAGATTCTTGAAGTTAACCACAGGCGCCATTGAACTTATTGAACTTGAACATGTCCGACAAGAATGAACCCAAGCAAGTTTGCAACGAAAGCTTCTATAACTTTCAGACAACCCACCCAAATCGTAAACTCACTCACTCAAGCAGCAGCAAATCAAGTAACCAACCAAAAAACTTGTCTAAAACAAAGACAACCTACGACATACCACAATTCACAATCACCGAAAAGCCCCAAATAATAAAAAAAAAAACCCTAATTTGTAAATGGGATACCTGCAAGGAAGAAAGCTGGGTCTCCAAGGCTTCAAGGGCATCGCAAATATTGAGAAGCCGTTCGGTGGCGTCGTCGTCGTCGTCGGCGTGCGGCGAGGGGCCATTGGTGGTGGTAGTGGCTCTGTGGATGCAATTGCTGATTTTCAATCGAAGTTCTGTGGCCCTGGCCAGCACTAACCCTATGCCTTCCTCTTCCATTCTCCTCTTTCTCTCTCTCACACTCTGTCTTTCTTTGTTTGTTTCCTCCGTTGGGTTCTATTCTACCCCAAATTCAAAGCCTGTAATTCCCATTTCCAAAATATTAAATTTGTGAATTTCTAAAGGAAAAAAGAAAAGTTTGACATGAAAATCCAAAACCGCCAAATGCTTCTTCCTCTATCGCTGTCTCCAGTGGTGGGGATTGTGATCAAGTGATTCTGGTGCTCCATGGAGCTAGAAAATCTACTCTCACTCACTTTTTCGTTTTTGTCAAACTTCCCAAACAGACAAATATTAATATCAACACTTTTCATCATTTCCACAAATTACTTTTCAATTTTCATCTTTTTCTTTCATTTAATTTATTTCTGTGTTAAAACTATTGTTCAAAACAAAACATCTATACAATAATATAAATTATCATTTAAAAATAATGTTTCAACAAAAAATTAGAGCAAAACTACAAAATAATAAAATATAATTGTTTTGGACAGAAATCAATTCCCACGTGTTATCCATTTTAGAACTTTTGTTCGTAAAAATTTTATCTTTAAAATATATGTAATACCCCTGAAACTTAAGAGGAATAATAAATATTATAAGAAGAATGTCAGTACATCATTCTCAAAAATAATGTTAAAAAAAATTCTGATCGGTAGTTTTTGGATGGTTCTAGTTGTAAGTGTTATAAAATTCTCAAAATTTTTATTGTGTAGTTTTATTTTCCAAGTTTTTATAAAAATGTAATATTGTCGTATTATATATTAATTATTTTAGAACAAGTAGTTTTAATTCTAGTGCATAAACTAAAATGTTAAACTTTATTAGCCATTATGATTTTCACTTACTTAATTTTAGTAAATTATTTATCTGTCTTTTCACTACACCGTAATATCCTATAACGGATCATCAAAGAAAATGCTACATCACAGATTACAAATTTTTCTGAAAAATAAAATAACGAAGATGTTAAAAAAAATTTATATAATTTTTTATCATTTCAAATATTTATATTATAATTATATTTTAGAATAAAGATAATAAATATATGTAAAAAATAAAGATAACAATTATATGTAATTTTAGAATTTATTACAGTTTTATATCATTAATTTAATATTAACGTTAACATTATTGTAAATTGATAATAACATTTACATGTTATTTGATATTAATAATCTATTTCTGTATTTTTATGAGAAAAAAATCTTAATTTCTACTATTTTTTAATTTTTTGATGAATCTAATGATAAGATGAGTTGTAAATTGTAGTCTTGAATTATTGTGGTACGTAGAAGCCTGTTTTGACTGGGAAAAGAGGACCAAATGTGAAATTCACGCAAGTTCACGTGCAGCTTTATTCCCATTTCTTTTGATATGCATGCATGAAGGAGCAACGCATACAGCAACATCATCATCATCATCATCATCACATATATTCAATGTTTTGATGTTTGTGATAAAATCAATACTCTTGTTTGTCCAAAATTTTTGAATGGTTCTATCAGCCTTTTGTTTTTGGTCCTGGAAGGAACAAACGAGCAACACTTACATCTTCAAAAGCAATAGTCAGTGGCAATGGCAATTAGGTCCTTGAGAGTGAGAGATGCTCTGGTATACCGTGACCATGTCCAGGCAATAAAATCTGGTTATGTATCATGCATTTACACTTGTAATCAACTCATTCACCTTTATTCCAACCATGGCCTTTTGCAAGAGGCCCACAAACTGTTCGATGAAATGCCCCACCCGAATGTATTCTCTTGGAATGTCATAATCATGGCTTACATAAAAGCACACAATTTGACTCAGGCACGAGCCCTTTTTGACTCTGCCTTTCACAGAGATTTGGTTTCTTATAATTCCATGTTGTCGGCTTATGTCGGTCTGGATGGGTACGAGACTGAGGCATTTGATTTGTTTACTAGAATGCAATCTGCACGTGACACAATTGGGATTGATGAGTTCACTCTCACAACCATGCTTAACCTTGCTGCCAAACTACGTGTGCTGCGTTATGGGAAGCAGATGCATTCATATATGGTGAAAACTGCAAATGATTTAAGTAAATTTGCTTTGAGTTCTCTCATAGACATGTACTCTAAATGTGGTTCCTTTCAAGAAGCATGTACTGTATTTGGCGGTTGTGATGGGGTGGTGGACTTGGTTTCAAAGAATGCAATGGTTGCAGCTTGTTGTAGGGAAAGAAAGATGGACATGGCCTTAAATATATTTTCGAAAAATCCTGAATTAAATGATACTGTGTCTTGGAACACATTAATTGCAGGGTACGCCCAGAATGGCTATGTGGAGAATTCACTTACCTTGTTTATTGTGATGACTGAAAATGGTATTGGTTTCAACGAACACACTTTAGCAAGTGTTTTGAGTGCTTGTACAGGTCTAAAATGTTTAAAACTTGGCAAGTCTGTTCATGCTTGGGTTTTGAAAAAGGGTTACAGTTCAAATCAATTTATTAGCAGTGGCATTATTGACTTCTACTCTAAATGTGGGAATATCAGATATGCAGAGTTAGTCAATGCAGAAATTGGGATTAAAAGCCCATTTGCAGTTGCTTCATTGATTGCAGGCTACTCATCTCAAGGTAACATGACAGAAGCCCAAAGGCTTTTTGATTCTCAGTTGGAAAGAAACTCTGTTGTATGGACAGCTCTATGTTCTGGCTATGTCAAATCACAACAATGTGAGGCAGTCTTCAAACTTTTCAGAGAGTTTACAACTAAAGAAGCACAAGCTCCCGATGCAATGATCATTATCAGTGTGCTTGGTGCCTGTGCAATAAAAGCTGCCCTTAGTTTGGGAAAGGAAATTCACGCTTACATCTTGAAAATGAGATTTAATGTGGATAAGAAATTACTGAGTTCTTTGATTGATATGTACTCAAAATGTGGAAATGTTACTTATGCTGAGAAAATCTTCCTACTCGTTACTGATAGTGATAGAGATGCAATCTTGTATAATGTAATGATAGCTGGTTATGCTCATCATGGTTATGAAAATAAGGCAATTCATCTTTTTCAGGAAATGTTGAATAAAAATGTCATTCCAGATGCAGTCACTTTTGTTGCACTTCTATCAGCTTGTCGGCACTGTGGATTAATTGAACTAGGAGAGCAATTTTTTATTTCGATGGAACAAGATTACCATGTATTTCCGGAGATTTACCACTATGCATGTATGCTTGATATGTATGGAAGGGCTAATAAACTAGAAAAGGCAGTAGAATTCATGAGGAAGATTCCCATACCAATAGATGCTACAATCTGGGGGGCATTTCTTAATGCTTGTCAGAGGAGCAGCGATGCAGCACTTGTCAAACTGGCAGAAAAGGAGATATTAAAAGTTGAAGTAGATAACGTGTCTAGATATGTGCAGTTGGCCAATGCCTATGCTGCCAAAGGGAAATGGGGTGAGATGGGAAGAATAAGAAAGAAAATGAGAGGATACGAACCTAAGAAGCTTGCTGGTTGCAGTTGGATATTTGTTGAAAATGGTATTCATGTATTTACTTCATGTGATACATCTCATTCAAAAGCAGATGCAATATATTCAACTTTGATATGTTTGAATGGGGAAATGTATTTATCTTTCAAAGAACTGAAGCAGCTTAATGAAATTCAGGCTGGCATTTAGGATATATTTTGATTGTTAACTAGCCAATGCCAGTAAAATTGGATGTTCTGCCATATAGGGATCATAAGGCCTCCATCGATTGCAGCATGCTTACAGATACTATTTCAGTAGTCAATAGGAATTATAGTACTACTAGAAAAATGATTGGAAGGCTATTTTCTTCATGAAAGAGCATTTGGTGATTTGGAAGAGGTATAAGACAGTTTAATTAGAGACAGAGACTCCTTCACATGTACACCAACCTTGCTCAATTCATCATCCCACTACTCAAATTTAGACATTGAAGGGATGATAATATACTGCCAAGTACGTTACAGGACATGTCTTCCTTACATACAAATATTTGATATTGTCTAATCCTATCCTATCCTATCATATCAGAGGAATCTCTTCGCAAATTCAGTAAAGAGCAAAACAACTAAAGTTGGCCGGATGAGATGACTTATAAATCCACTATCGGGATACAAACTTTTATGGAGATACATATGGAGAGAGTTTATTCCTTTTGAGTTGAAGTTTTGGTAGATTACTGATTCTGTGCAGGCAGTTATTCGAGACAGAAATGGTGGTGTTCTACAATCTACACAACCAACTGTGTCTCTTATTTGGTGACATATGGAACATAATGAAGCATTAATACTCAGTGATTATGAAAGTTCGTGGTGATTCCACCCTTAAGTGTGCTGATGCTACTACGGGTGATCTGAAGCATTCGAATGGAAACAAAGGAACATGTCTCGAATTCTTATGCTTTAGTTCGGTTTTCAAGCACGTGAGGAGCTAGGAGAAAGCCAGCTCTTTGATTGCTGCTGTAGTTGGTTGTTGACTTTTGGTTGCTGTTATGTGAAGACATTCTTTGGGTATGAAATGAGATTCCATTAACATTGTCAAGGCAGAGGTGGATACTTGTTGGGAAAGATAAGCAATTTGAGGATGAAAGGACCCCCTCGAGGACATGACATACAACGAGTGTCCATCCTTCACCTTGTGCTTTTGCTGGGCCTTCATGTCTAGTATTTAGGAAGGACTTGTGAGTTTGTACGAGTTCTCGGAGATATTGTAGATTCCTTTGGTCTGTTATATTTATGGGTAGTTATTCATTCAGTACTCTATCTACCACTTTAATCAGTTTATAACATCAACCGCAATGTGATTCTAATCTAGACTTAAATGTATTGATTCCTCCTCATAAATAAAATTCGAGAAACTATGGTCCTATCTAGATAACTTAAATTTGAAGAAACAATTTGAGCTTAAATATATTTTTAGTCTCTCAGTTTTGTAATAAGATTGTTTTGACTCTCCAAATTTACTATTTAACTTTAGTTCATGTAATTTGAAAAAAAAAATGTTGTACTTGGTTAATAAATGACAAGTTGATTACATGATAAACTAATTTGATTCTGGTCAAGAATCAAACAATCAACCACATGTTTCCAAGATATTTGGATATAGAAATGAAAACAAGTTTTATTTTTTGTCAAATTATAGGGATTAAAATGATTAATTTTAAACTTGAAGGATCGAAAACAAACTTATCATAAATTTTAAAAACTAAAAATATGCTCAAGTTTTAAAATTTGAGAAATCTTTGTAAATGATTTACTTTCCACTTATTCTCTCGTTTTCTTTCATGCTGTTTGACCAAAAGGCCACAAGAAGGTGCTTCTTAGTGAGTTAGTATTATGATTTCTGTTCAGACAGAGAAAAAGTGTCCAGGATTGAAACATCATACGAAGCAGATGTCGAGGAAAAGAATTAAGAATATACATCCATTAATTGAAAAAGAAAATATAGCTATAGTTAAATTCTTAAACACGAGAAGGACCTTAAGATGGAGAGTTATGTAGCAAAAATAATTAGTCCAGGTTTCCAAAATTTCCAAATCGTAGCTTTCTATCCGAAGTACGTCTTTCTCTGCTCCCTATTCTCACCTCAGTGTTACCATTCTGAGTTTAATATTATTCACCTGTTATGCTTTGAGGCAGACAAATTTCCTTCTTGCACGTTACACACGTACATGAATCCTACCTAGGCATGTCATCACCAAGCTAATTCCTTTGAAATCAAATAATGGAAAGTGAAGTTATGAGGCGTTAATTCAATGTTTTTCAAGCTTGATTTGGATTGAAACTCTTGAATGCTCTTCCTTTGACAATCGGGTAGATAAGGCTTCATCATCTGCATCAAATCAGGTGCTCCTAGACCTGAATTTTTTGCGAAGGAATCAACTAACTTTGGGAGAACTATTTTCTGTTCCTTGCTTATGGTGATGGTGGACTGAATGTATTCCTCTTTGGCACATTGTAGCTCTTCAAAGACTCTCTTGGATGTGTACAAACGTACCTGAGAAGGTTGCACCAAGACCAGGTGAGATTATGAGAAAATAACCGATAAAAGGATAGGGCAGGAGGCTGTGGAAGCTAAATATATGTCAAGTACAGAATCATATCTGTTATTTGTAACCTTAAACTAAGAAGGCTGTAACTGTATAAATGCAAGAATTTCTGAAAACTTTTATTTGTTCAAATCATTTACATTCAGACTTATGGTCAATGTTTCAATTTGGTAATCTAAATCTTTAGAGATAGTATTTTCTGCTTCCTTGAGTTACCAAGAGAAGAGGTAAATACAACAAAAATTGTAGGTTTGTGCATATATATCCTTCTACATAAAGTACAGAAAGACCAGAAGTCTACCGCAGGATCAGAATGGCTTCCTGAGCAAAGAGCAAATAGTAATAAAGGTTCTGGACGATGTATTGCATATCCTTTTCTTGCATCTCTAACCTTTGGTTTTGTCATTGAAGGAAAGAACAACCTCAGCCACTAGTAGAAAAAGAAATGTGCAATACGGTGTTAAGAAAGGCATATGGACAGCAGTATTTGATCTATGCTAAACTTGTTTGCTTATCATCTAAAATGAAATATGCGGTCTTCTTAGAAGTTTCTGGAAATAAGATTTACTTGTCCTGGGCGAGGCAATCTGCATCCCAGAATGAGGTTCTGTATCAGGTCTACGCTTATAGTATGTCCCCCAATGTTATATGCGGCCTGAAATATCATCCTAGCTTATTTTAGTAAAAGTCAAATACCAGTCAATTCCATGGAGTTATATGAACGAGAAACTTACCTTCAGCACTGAAGACATTCTTTTAACATTGTTGGCTGAAATTCCATAAACTAATAAGGCCTGTGGAGGAAAGAGAACAGCATGATAAGATTGGTTCACTGATTTGGAGCAATAACATGCACGAGATTAAAAAAAAAATAGAGATTCATATATATTACATGCATTGCTAAGGAATTGTGCACATTAAGCCAAAAGGCAAGCTTTTCTTCATGTCTCATATTTCTAGGATTAACATCTTCCAGACGAGAAACAAGTGACCTGCAAGAAAGTAGGATATGAAGTTGATCTTCCAGACAAAGAAATCATCATGCCAAATTTGCATACCACATCTTGGTACATCCAGTTGATAACTTCAATTTTCAAGGTAAAAACTTTACTGTGTAGTTTCTTCATCCAACTAATAGATCATTTAGAAAAGGAACTTATGAATCTGAATAAAGTATTCAAAAAAGTATGCACTATAAGATGGCTCACCTAAATCTCCGTAGCATGTATTCAATTTCTTTTAATTTCTGATTATCTGTGCATAATTTCTGTATCCTTGTCATTGAGCAATAAGGTTCACTAAATTCTTTGGACACTCTGACATGGAAAGGGTTAGTGGAGTTTAGATTGAAGGATGAGTGTTTCTTCCATTGTGAACCCCGCTTATTACCCTGGATCTGTGAAGATAACTCATTACCAGAGGATAAGTATGAAATAGGGGATGAAGAATTTTTATGACCAAGAGAAGGTGGTTCTGCAAGTTCACAATATATAGCTGATATGCACTTAATCATCTCCTCAGAAAGCCAATTTGGTGTTTCTGGAACATGATCAACATAGCTACTCCCTAGATGCTCAGCCAGACTTGTTGAACTGAATTTAGCACACTGAGCTTGCTGTTGAAAAAAAAAAATGAAAGCTGGATGTTAGAGAGGGCTGCAATAGAAATAAAAGGATGTAACCAGTTTTCTGGTTGCATTATACTTACCTCCAACATGGATAGTGGAAGAGAATGGTAAGAGTCAACAACAGCTTTGGTTTCAATGTTCCCAGGAGAAGCTTCAATTGAGCATACTGTTCGTTGAGATAGTGCAGAGTGACATCGATGAATACTAGAGTCTAAAACAGTTTCTGACTCCAACTGGTTATTTCGTTCCTTAAGGCGAAAGCCAGCGGAATTTCTTGGTGAAATGACATTACTACAGTGCACAACTGAAATTTCTTTGTCAGATATAGCATCATTGGTGGGCACTGCAGATGTTTCTTGATTAGTGTCTGAAGCTAATTCCAATCTTCTTTCCTTGGGTGATAAAGATGAAATTTGTTGATCAAATCTTTTCCGATACAAAGAGAGCAGGTATTGTTCCAAATACACAACTTCTAATTCTAATATTCCAATTTCCTTAATCAGTTCCTTTGCAGCCTAAAATTACATAAGAGATGTATATAGTGGATAGTCAGAACGATATTCAAAATATTCAACTGAGAAAGTAAAAACTGTGCTTCCATGTAACTACCTCGGGTATTGAATGTTCTATGGTTGCATCCTGTGAGAAAGGCAGATAACATGCTTTCTCTAATGCGCGCCTTATCACGAATTGTTGCTGTAATCGTTTTCGAAGCTGTAGAATCTTCAAAGATATAAAAACTATATATTATGAAAAGCTATCTACCAAATGCAAATAAATAAAATGAAATACTACATTCTTTCACTCAAGGCTTATCTAAGCCTTGTATAACAAGGACAATTCTGATCCTTGCCTTCGGTACTACCCTCCTTGGCATGACTAGTTGGGTACCTGTTACTGTTACTACAAATGTCTCCACAAAAAAGACTGTGCAGTCATAAGCTTACTACTAGATGACTGTAATCTGACAACTTCATAATCAGACAAGATTTATACCTCTTGAGTCAAAGAGCTTTGAAGATCCATATTATGGTATTGCCTCTTCTTGGATTCAATGCTTTGCTTTAGTTTCCCCAGTTCCTTTTTGTGATATAAAAGAAAGAGAAAATTACTAAGAGTTATAAGAATTACTTTCTATAAGCTGAAAACCATTCTTCTATAAGAATACAAAAATTTGCGGTACTAAATGAAAGGAAAATGGTCTCTGTACAATGCTCAGAAAAATGCAGCAAGAAGGTAAAGGCGGTCGGAGAGAAAGGTACAGATACCACTTCAGGCCGATAAGAAGCTTCACTAATGTTCTCTAATCCATCTCCCATGACTCTCCTTTTCATTGGGTCACTGCCAAACATTAACAAAAATGTCAAAAATAGGGAGTGAAGAACATAACATCATTAAAGATAACATGATGATTCTGTTAGCCTGCAAAAAACGTCCTCATAGGACCTGTTTTGGCATTGTAGATGTAACAAGTACGAGATTGAACCTTGGTTTTTTAAAATACTTACAACCGAGTATATGTATTTCAGGAACATGATATCCAATACTATACTACTCCCCGGACTCAAATATAAGAAAAAAAATACATAATATATTTATAAAGCAAATTTCAATTTCCTAAACCTTAATTACTTTTCTTAATAAGTGTAAAAGTACTTAAATTTGCTTATAATTAAGTCCAGACGGAGTATTAACTCTTAGGCTAATTTAGCGTTGTGAAGCAAAGTAAGATTACCTATATTTAATAACATAAATCTGAAGAAGCAAAAATTGTGGATAACTTGAAGAACCATTATTTGGTTAAAAAATGAATGTCTGAAGAAGAAGGAGAAGAAGATGTGCCGCTGCAACTCTTTCTTCAATTTATTTGGTTTAGAAAGACAAAAGTTGGTGGAATGAGAAAGAGACAACAAATACTGCAAAAAGAAAGAAGAGAAAACGTTGAAAGTAGGATACGAATAGTGTCTGCAAAAACCTGCTGGAGCGCTTGTGACTTGAAATTGAAACAGTTGGGTCCATGAACTTGAATTGCTTGAAACCAGAATCGCGCCACTCTATTCCATGCATGTTAGTGTCAGATTGGCTTAAACTCTGTCAATGAATGCACCAAAAAATCATTAAATGCGAACAAAATAGGACCAGATACTGACAAAGTTTCATAAATGTGAAATTGTCAAAATGGCAAGATACATCCAAAATACATTAATTAAAAGCATAGCTGCGCTTACAAGTATCAGAATCTCCTCTCTGATGGAATGAGACTTCTCGCACAGTGAAGCTTTTGGAAAGTTGAACCAATTTGGTGATTCCAAATCCAAACAGGCTCTCAGTTATATCTATTTCAATTCCAAAAAAAATAAAAATTTTATATACGTCAGGTAAATGTTTTTCAACCACTATGGTACGAATACAACAAGAGTATACTTGTTCTGCACTGCTGTTGACAAACAATCTATGAGGCTCGTAAGACCTTTTTATTTTTGTTTGACTAGTAGTAGTCTCACATGACTAACCAACCCACCCTTTTGGAAGCCTTTGATAAAGTTATGGTTTTTGCATTTCATTAAAAGAAGAAAAATCATGTCATAGCTTTTGTAGAATGTATTCCAAAGTAAAACTTGGGGATTAGAAAAGAATGATATGACAAGAAACATGGAGGCAAACTGAGATATGTGTATCGCAGAATATGCTATCAACAATGATGCAAATATATTGCATGCATGTTTAAAGGCACACCAACTTTGAAGCTTTTTTGCTGGTTGGCTTTATGCACTGCATTAAAAGAATCACATAGGTTTGGTTTTTCCCTTTATCTTCTAGCAGTATCTAAAAGCTAAGACCTTCGCCATTTAGAATGGAACATAGTGACAAAATACAGAGTGGTGATTAAGATGGCTGTTTTTTAGACAATAATAAACTTACATAATGCATTCACCACACAGTTCCATCCACTCGTGCACTTGGTTTCTTTTCTATGCCATTTCAAGAGCAAACTCCCATGTGATGCACTCACAAATCATTTACCATCATTTGGTTTAAATGGTAAAAGTTTAGTGTCCTACAAGTTTGATCAAGTCATTTTAATTTCCTTCTTTAGCCCCTGACTTCATTAAACAAATGGTTTGTATATCTCTTAGTTTAAAGAGAAACATGACTCCTAATTGTTTATACTAAACACAGACAAATTTTACCTACTTGTAAGACTACCTGGCACTATCTTCCTGTTACAATGAGAGGTGAAACCAATTGGTAATAACTTTACTACCTAATCTTGAGAGTGCTTAGTCTAATTATTGGTGGCATACAAACTGGTCTAAAGAATTATAGTTATATAAACAACAATTAAAGGAACATGCTTAATTATTAAATTATATGTTACAGAAGTTTGAACATATACTGTTACATAATTTACAGATAAATTTGAGAATGTAAAAACATTTTAGTTTTTGTGCCACGTATTTAAAGTGATACCCCTTATGACCCCTCCACTAGGCGATGCTACCAACATCCGGGAAGATTGAAGAAGAAAACACAGTAAGTTTGGTCACTTGGATGAAAAAGGAAAACGCACTTATAGAAAAGCAGCCTCAAAAGGGCTGAAAGTTTATTGTCAAAGGAAGAAGCAGTGTATGTTTTTTATATGAGGTGACTGGTTTTGGTGGGCTGTCTTTTGTCTAATTTCATGGAGAAACTTGGATACAACCAATCTTTACATTGTCAATGACTTTGGTGGAAAAAAGTGCCATGCCTTTTCTCATTGGAGAGGGTGCTATACACGTAGGGAAGAACATAAAATAATGTCTCTATATGTAGTCAGAATAACATAGACATTTGCATGCCTTCATACTTAATAATATATGTATACATATTTTACATTCTACAAATAATACCCTTTATGAACAATGCCTTCTTTTCCCCCCTTCTTTTGACCATAAATAAAAGATGGAAAAAGATTTACAAGTTGACAGTAGAATATGCCCTCTGCTATTTTATTTTAGTTTAATTTGCATGTATATATGGTAAGTGTAATTTTTTTTATAATGTCCAGTTCTTGGTATGAAACAAATTTATCAGATGTTAATGGAAAGACAGGTAGTACAGGTTTATTTGTCCATCTTTTGGATTATGAAATTAGACTTTATATATTATAATCAGTATGATTTTCTGTTTGATTTTTTTGATATCTTAGCTAATTAGTGAGTAAAAGGTGACTGAATTGAGAGGGTGAAATATAATAGTGGAATTGTTTGCAATATGAAAAAACACATCTATGACTGAATAAAAAAACCTTTTATAATGTGCTATTTTTTCCTGCACCCCAATGAGAAAAGGTTAAAAAAAAAAAAAAAAAATCTGTTATGTTTATTAGTTCCATACGTCAGATCAGATGTTTGCAATACCGAAACTAAAACCAAAGAGCTGTTTTGGCTCTTGCAACTTCCAAATTCTGACTCACTTTTTGATATTTCACTATGAGTTTGTAAGTATTTGTAGTTTGACTTGTGGCTTGGTTGAACCTGGAGAACCTATGCCCTTCTATTCTGTTTCCCCATGTTGGGAGTCACCATTCTGAATTTCTGACTCAGATCAAAACAAAAAGGAATAGTTAATTAGAAAACAACCTCTCTTGTCCAGTAAAACCATTATTCTATCAATTTTTCAATGGAAACTGACAGACATACTTGTGGCTTTAATAATATATGTATTACTCCAATAAACCAGAGCAGTAATAGAGCCTAGTTCCAGAGTTTTTACAATAATCCAAAACGAACCAAAATTCTACTAATTTCAAGACGTCAAAATTAGTGAAAACTTTACCTATTAATGTGTCATGAGATATGACAGAAGCAACTTGTTAGTATAAAAGTTAGAGGAAATGAAAATTCTGTGCTACATTTCAAAGGAATATTAATCTGCGTTTGAACAAAAATGTTATTCATGTTCTTTGTTCATTTAAAATTTTAAAATAAAGTAATGTTGACTTTGTTAAATATGACTTTCTTCTTATGTAATTCTTAAGAATTTTGATACACTTGTTATGAATGACAGAAAAAAATAAAGGAAGTTATATAAAGAAGTTAAGAATAATTTTATATGTGAACAACCTACTTAAAATGGACAATTAACCAGACAAAATTAAGGAAATAGTACAAACTCTAGAAACTGTACAAAAATTTAGTACAACTTAGGAAAATGTAACATTGAAGATGAGTATGGAAGTAGAAGTTGTGATATGTGCAGTGAGCTTTAAAGTTTGGTACTGGCACAGGGATCAATGAGAAGATTGATTAAAGAATCATTTACTTCTGATATGTTTAATGCATCATGAATGAATGGACGAGAGGTGATGCAGTTTCCATGGTAGTAGAAGGAACCAATGCATGCATATTGGGGTTGGTAACGTTTTATAATCTTGTCAGAAGGTAACCAAAGTTTCTTATTTCAACAAAACAAAGAAAACAGAATCTTATCTTTGAGATTGGCGAGACTGTGTGACTGAGAAAGAAGGCTTTATATGTTATCATTTGTAAATCTCGAAAGTCAATTCAAAAATTTTATGGTGACTTAAGCACTTATTTTTCAATCAAATATTAACACCTACCTATCTTCTAATTTTATTCTCTAATTTTCTCCAAATACATAATAATATATTTATTGTCATATAATAATTACAGTCAAATTTAAAATAGCTATCTCATTTCACATTAATCATTTGTTTTGGATCATAGTTTTACTGTTTATGAGGTACAAATTTGAAGAAAAAAATTATATTTATATTAAAAAAAATTATACTTATTTAAGAGAAAATTTTGTAAAATCAAATGCTTTATCTTTCTTTTTATATATATTATATTATATATGAATCATATATTATTTTTCTATTTAATAATTGTATGGCTATATTATATATATATATATATATATATATATATATATATATATATATATTTTTTTATTAATATATAATCCTAATGTATTATTTTTAGTTATTTACATTTATTTTTGTTTAATTTTTATTTTAAATATGAATTTATGTTATATATATATATATATATATATATATATATATATAAATTATAAAGTGCCGACTAATTATATTTTAGATATAGCTTTATAACTAAAATACTTAAATTAAATCATAAAATTTAAAAAAATACTCGAATAAATGAATTTATGTAATCGATTATATAATATAAATAATAGATTATATAATGAGTAATCAATTATATTAAAAATATATTATGATATTTATTATATATAAATTAATGTTAATAATATATATAATTATAATTATATGTGATTTTATAATTTTTTATTATAATAAAATTAAAATTATATTTAAATAAAAATTCAATGTTTTAACAACGTAACTGGTTTTATTTTTTATTATAAATTATTTTATTTTATTTTTTAATTAATAGTTGAAATAAAAAATTATATAAAATTTGTAATTAATAATTAAAACTGATTTTTAAATAATTTTTAGTAATTTTAAAAATTTAAAAATTAATTACTTAAAATTTATTAATTTTTTCCTTTAATTTATATTATTTATATTAAATATTAAATTAATATATTTTATAAGATAATAAATTATTTTATTAATATATATTTTTATTATTTTGAATCAATCAATTCAGTTAGAAACTTTCTTTCTCCTAAATAAATATATTTTAATATTTCTCCTCACTTTATACTATCTTTCTCCTAATTCAAATAATCTTAATTTGTACGTTCTTTCTTTTCCTTTTCACTCCTTCAAATTCACCCCTTAATCTATCTAAACATAAGTTAAGAATGCTAATTGAGTTTATTTAATATTTTTATTTTTAAAATTAATATGTACGTTTTTTAAGTCACCCTTAATTATTTATTTACTAAAAATGATGTCTAACTAGAGGTCAGTTAGATGATAGGTTAGTTTATTAACCAAAATCATTTTGATTTATAACTAAGTCTAGAGAAAATATATTTTAATAAAATGGATCAATAATAATAATAATAATAAATCATTTTCTGGAATGGAGGGGGTAAAGGTATTTGTTCAAATAAGTTAATAAAATTCATTTTTTAATAAAATAATTATCAGATTAAAAATGGTGACATGAAAAAGTAAATTTTCAAGTAAGATGAAATTGAAATTTTAATTTAATCTCTGTATATTTTTTCTAGATTCTCTACTTACATATCTTAACATAAAAATACAGAGTAGCAGTAAGATTCTAACACGTGGAAGGAAATATGTAATAAAGAAAATAAATATAGTTTGAGAGGTTTAATATTTTGATTCAAAACCGTTGATGAATTTTTCATCTTGTAATATTCCAAAGAGAAAAATGAGAGAGGATGAGTTCTTTTTTATTTTTTTATTTTTTTTTCTTGATATAAAATTGAATCCTTTCTATATTTTATTTTTTTAATTATTAATTCTTAACATTTTGAAGGTAAATTATCTATTTTCTCAATGTCTACTACTTATTCCTATGTAACCAAGATCAAAAACTCAGAATCAACATTAAAGAACCAGATATCTCGATTATTTCCCCTTTATCTAATAGAATAAATAATAATTAAAAGAAAAAAAGAGTTTGAACTCTCTTCGTCTTATTTGATTTGTTCCCCCTTAAATAAAAATCAACATTGAAGACTGATAAATTTCCATCCTCATTAAAAATAAAATCATCTTATTTGATTTGTTCTCAATCACTGATGCTCCTATTATTGGAATGTGCTGCCCTTTACATTGTCCATACCCAACAAATCAAGGTCTTTCCCATTATTAACAAAATTTTAGATAATTTTATACAAAATTATTCATTTTTATATATTTATACATCAAAATAGAAAAAAAATAAGAGAGTGATTAATTTTAAGAAAAATAAATTAACTTTTCTATAAATTCAAATTAACTTATAAAAGTTTTTTTCTTTCAATTTCTTCAAAATATAACTTTTAACTTATATACAAACTAATTTTAGTTTATAAAGAATTTTTTTCCCTTATTAGTGAAAAAAACTCCTTTAAAAAAACCCTTAATCTCGCACAACACATTTCTTTCCCTTTCCAAATGGGGTGAAGCCGGAAAGTAATGGAAAATAATTTTTATTAAAACTATCAAAACGACAATTCAGTCTAATTTGATATAAAGTAAAAAAATGAAAAATTGATAGATCAACTAACTTATATTTTAAAACAACAAAATATTTTAACTTATTTAATTTTAGTCTGATTGAATTTAAAAAAAATATTAACATATTTATACAAAATCAATTAATTAAAAACATATTTTAAACGATTATATTTTATTAATAAAATTAGCTTTTATTTAACATATAATAATTTAATATATAAATTATAAAAAAATACATCTATTCCATCTTAAAATAAAAATTAAAAACTTACTTATTATTATTATTTATTTTCAATAATTATTAATTTAAAATAATAATTAATATTAATAATTAAATCTTATAATAAATTATTATTAAAAATTTATTCTAATATTTATTCATAGAATCCGTAAATTTTTATCAAATTAATTTATAATATATACATATTTTTTAATAAAATAATATTACTTTTTTCTAAATAATTATTATTTTATAAAACAAATAGATTCATAACCTTTCTAACTACTCTGAATTAAAATAAATATGATCAAAATATATTTGATTCAATTTAAATCATAATTATTTTGATCAAACCTACATTAATTTTACATTAATTTTCACACCTTTCTGACCTATTTATCATACTTTTACTAAACCTATTTTTATTTCTCAAATCTTTCAAACTAGTCTATTTATCAAGCTTTTCAAACTAAACCTATATTAACACCTGATCTTTGTCATAAATGCATGCATTTCTTCCATCATGATCGTAGATGGCTTTTAACATTTTAAATGTATATTTACTTTTTCTTATTGTAGAGAAATTATCCTTTATTTATATTCATTTTCAGTGAAATATTTTAAATTTTTTTAAAACAAACCTTACTCGAATACGTACTAAGTAGTTAAGTTTTGATCAATTGTACAAGCTGGGTTCCATCATGATATAAAAAAGTTCGAACTTTTTAGCAAGGAAGCTTCAATATCCGAAGACACCTGCATACACGATTTCAGTTTAAACAATGCACGTGAGATTGCACCAACATTATAACAAAATTCGGTGTCTTAAAAAAATCTGTAACAAAAGTCAACTAAAATATAAATATGTGTGAACTAAAGTCAACACGAATATCATATATCATTTAGATAGTATTTGCTAAGAATTATAGAAATAAAGAAATAATTTAAGCTTGACTCATTAATCTTATAAAGAATCACTTCTGCTACATAATTTAGCCCGGAGAAAATCAAATGTTAACAAAAGATCCAGTATTAGTTAAAAATTTGTTTAATATTATGTAATTCTACTTTTTATTCAATGAATCACACTCGTAATTTTCAAAAAATACTATTTTCCCAACAAAAAAATACCAGTCTAAATAGTTACAAATACTCCACTGCACTAATATTTTAAAAATCAATTGTTAGTTACTGATACAAAATTAACTCTCTTTGCTGAAAAAATATAGAGTTTTGAATTTCTAAAAGATCAGAATTTTGGAAGAAAATTAGAAACCAAAATATCGATATTAATGGTGTTTGAAAGCTGAAAACTTAAACAAGAAAAAAGCAGTGAAGTTACCTCCACCTATGACTTCATAAGATAGGAATAAAAGGATCCTAGAAGTAGTCCTGAAAGGTGTTGCTAGAAACCCAGGTAGCCCATTTACATAAACTACTAGCAAATAAATGCCCCAAGGCTATCTATATACAGCGCTAGGATTTCAAACAGAAAGGTAGAGATGGCCACGGAATATTAAATTTTAGAAACATATCTCAGTAGAGAGAGACATGGCTGGCTAAATGAAATATATGAAAGCAAATGGGGTGTGAAATCCAAAAAGATTAATTCCTTCCAAAGGCAGCAAAGCAATTTATGTTAGACCTGTACGCCTGTACGTCTGTACGTATATAAGATGTCCTTCTTCAAAGTCAATTTCTGTCTACAAACTCTGCTGGCAAGTTTAGATCAAAAAAACCACCACCAAGACCATCTTTTCTTGCACGTTTACGAGAAGAGCATCCATTCTCATCTGAACTCCCTGATCCAGAAGGTCGATCAAGTTCTGCTGTTCCACCTACGCTTGCAGCATATATACAATAATCCTTTTCACTCAGTAACATTTCTGATGAGCATCCACAAAGTCAAACTGAAGAAAACATACATAAGAACATTCATAACATAATATAATACAATAAGAAAGCTACAAAATTAAATTTACAAGTCGCCACTGCCTTTCCATGTTAGTAAATAACAACAAACAAAACAAGATCTACAATAAGCACCCCATGAGCAGAAGTGTATATATGTACAAATTTAAAACTTTGTAACAGAGATTAAATCAAATTCTATCAAAACCAAGAACAAATTATAGCATGCATTAAATTACAGCAATGACTCTTGACATAATACAGTTGATACTCCTTCATTTTAATGCATAACACAGAAATAAATAAATAAATAAATAAATAAATAAAAGCAGCAACAAATCAAAATTTCAGAATAGCTCACTCAAAATTTCCCGTTAATACATTATGACAAAATGGCAGTAATAGCATCAAAAGGTTTTTCTCCAGTTAATTATGCAAACAGAACCGACACAGTCATTACCAGTATTGACTTTGTTGTTCCAGCAAACTGAAAGTTCTGAAGCCCTCTCGATGCCCTTTGACTTGTATGGAGCAATACTATGAATGCCAAGATGTAGAGAACCCAATAAATCATTCTCGATGCACTCATACCTGCATCAAATTGCAATTATCAATGTCAAACTAAGAAATGTACCACAACCTTATTTAAAGTGACACTCACATTTTTTGACAAAGCTTATCAATAATTGTTGAGAGGTTAAGAATCTGCATCCTTATCTCCACAACCTTTTCATCTGAAAAGGTTTCAAAAGGCTCCTCCAAAATTTTAGAGAGCTTTTCAACATTTGCCTCAAGCTGCTGCTGTTGATCCTCAAATAAGTTCTGTTTTATTTCCCTTTGAGCTTCTGTCATTTCTTCCTTAAAAAGCTCATCTCCAAACATATAAAATGCAAATGCATACGAATAGGATAGGACTCTCCTAGATCTGAAAAGTCTGGAAAGCCCATTATTTACCCAGCTATAATCCCTGAGTGTAGAATCTTTTTCTTCTGAAATGGCAATCTTCCCTTGTATAGTTTCTTTCAGTTTGCTTTCAATCTTAAAGGAGTCTGTGTGAGCTTTATATCGGTTATGATAGTGCATATATCGATATAGATCCCTCTTTGCTCGCTCAGCTGTTTTTTCTTGTTCTTTATAGCGACCGCAGCTATGACCAGCTATACTTGACCAAGTATGCTCTCGACCAGTAGCTCCACCGCATAACCAACTGCACCAAAAGGGGGGCAATTATTATAATTATAAAAAAGAAAAAAACGGGCTTCATCTTCTGATTCATACAACCATATTCAAGTAACTAATTTTTACAACCAAAAGGATCAATTATGAAATAGAATATGTTAATGCAGGAAGGAGGAAAGCTCACCAAAATGCTTGACCACAGATACAGCTAACCAAGTTACAACCACCATTCTTCTCCACCGGTTTGTGACACTTTGGGCATGGTTTTGTATGAACAGTTATCCAATTAACAGTTTCTGATTCATCTCGACACTTCTTAGCCCAAAGCTCCCACATCAGGCATGAACAAGGTGAGTGTGCTTCTGACAAGCACCTAAAACAAAACTGTAAACCACATGAACATTCTACCTCACACAATTCATCATCCTCAACACGAATTGCATTCCCACAATGTGGTGTACTTGGACACCATTTAACTCTTTTATTGTCTTCAATGTAAGATTCAAGCAGTATGCGTTCGTATTTCTCTGCCATATCAGGGTGATTTCTACTGAGTAGAGTTCTTACAACAGCTTCGTCACATATGGAATTGCACTTGTGTTCCATGCATCTAATGCGTTTGCTTTGACCCTCATTTATCTTGACAATAAAATGCTCAATCCAACCTGTAAAATATAAACAAATATTAAACAAGTTAAAAAGTGGAGTTTGCGTGAATTCCCATCATTGTGAAAAACCAAAGGTTATGAATAACAAAACAAATACTCACAGGAGTTGCAAAAGCAATGGCCACAGTCCATTTTTGTTGTTTCGACCGTAGGAACATCCTCCATGCAGATGTAGCACATTACTGTAGAAGGAGCTGATGAGTCTGAGTCACGATGTTCATCCACACTAACACCAGCTTCACCAAAGAGAAATGCTTTTCCCTTGTCTACATAGACTGCAAACAACTTCTCCACATCCCAACGATGATAAATTAGTAGGGTACGAGCATGTTGTTCTCTTACCGATAGCATCTCCATCACTCTGCGCAAATCCTCTTTCTGAAAAAATATGCATAGTGATCTCAGTAAAACCTAAAACTATAATTTATCCAAACAAAACACGCAAAAACATCCTTTCCCCCCTCAAGTTACCTGTGCAATCAGCAGTGATTCCTTTGTAATCACCTGCAAATGCCAAAGGATCTCATCAGAACACAGTCAATGCAAGGAAATAACATATTCCAACTTCACACAACACCCCAAATTAAAAAATTAATCATAGAATCACTCAGCCCAAACAGCCCACAGAAAAAGGTATTTCAATCATATTGAAACCCTCTGAATTTCAACCACAAATTCGGCCCTCACAACCGAATTCAACAAAGTCCCAAAAGTTCATGTCACGCAGTCCAACAAGGCAACAAAATTCAAAGCAGTTCTAAAAGCCCCCACCTTCAACAAACCCATCTCACAAAAGCCAAGATAATGCAACTCAACGAGAAAACAATCAATTCACAAACCAATATAAGAAAGTGAAGAAAAGCAAATAACATATACAAACACCCACACACTTATATAAAGAGACACGGACGCCAATCATCGCGAGAGGGAAAACAATAAGTGAGGGTTTTTTAAAAAGAAAAATTAAAAATTGGGATTATCCCAAAACTATGTACACAACGAGGGAATACCTTAGTAGTGGGACCCTTGGAAGAGAGCAACGCGTAATCCTCGTCGTTTTCGTAGGCCTCGACGGAGTCATCTTGATCGGAGTCGTCGTAATGGTAATCCTCGTCGCTGCTCGCGTAATCCTCCATCTCCGCCACCCCCACCCCCAAAACGATTGAATGCCTGTTCAATTTCAATTGATGAAATAAAAGGTTTATCGCACAATTAGGGATTCAAGATGCGATCGAATCCGGTGATCGGAAAATTAATAACTGAAATTCCGACAAGAACACCGGCAAGAGAGAGCGCACCTCCGCGCACCCACACCAATAGAGAGAGAAACAACCTTCCTTCTTCTTGGCAATTTTTCACACTTCCATTGCATTATATAATTACATTATTATTATTATTATTATTATTATTATTATTATTATTATTATTATTATTACAACTTTATTCAATATATATCTAATAATAAATAATAATATTAATTTAATTTCATTAGTTTTTTATTTTTATTAAAATGAAAAAAAAAACACTTTTTACTACTTCTTCACTGGTTTTCGCCGACTACATTTACTTTTTCCACTATTTCCTAAAAAAAAAATTACAATTTGATTATTTTTATATTAATTTTTTCCTTATACTAGTAAATATTATCTATGTAAAAATAAAATAAAATCTGACGGAATCTACAACCACGGAATAATAGGAAATTTTGAGATTCAGATGTTTTATTATTTCACTATAAGGATTTATATTTTTATTTTTAATGAACATTTTTTTTGTAATTTATAAAAAATATTAAATATATGGCAGAATTATAAAATGAATAAAGAATAAAAATTATTAAAATTTTGACAAATTATCTCAGTTAGCGTCTGACTTTTTCTATTATTTTATATTTGGCATGATATTTTAATATAAGCTTTTTAGCCTTTGTTTAGTAAGTGAAAGAGATATTTTATTTTTCTAAAGTAATACTACAAAAATTATTTATCCAGACGATTATTCGTTTTATTTAACCTAAATAGATTTATTTACTGTGTAATGTCAGAATTCGATTTCTGAAAAACTGAATTTCAAATGAAAATGTGTCGTGTGAAAGCCAGAAATGCAGTCAGATTTTTGGAAACCGAATTCGGAACAGCGTTTGCTTTTCTTTCTTTTTTTTCATAATAATTTTATATATTTATATTTATATATTGATATAATTAAATATTATTATATTTATATATGATAATAATTTAATATTTAAATATTGATATAATTGTATTTCTTTATATATTTAAATTTTAATACATTAGTATATATATATATAATTTGATAAATATATATTTACATCATTAGATATTAAAATATCTAGATATTTATATAATTATATATTAAAATATATTAATATTTATATATTTATATAAATATATTAAAATTATTTGATTTGTTATGGTTAAGTAATATTTAGAATTATAAAAAAAATAATATAAAATTGAAAATTTAGGAATATAAATTAAATATAAAAAAAATAATACATGATATAAAGAATATATTAATTTTATGGATTAGTAATGTTAGGATAATTTTTTTTTATTAATTGTGTGACAATATAAATAAAGTTTGAGATGATATTGGTTGTTCCGTGATGTCCATTTTTTGTTTTTATTCGATTTAATTTTTGACTATCTTTTGCAATTTTTTATTTATGGATTTGGGCTCAAAATTGGTTCTATGTAAAATGGTCAATAGAGTTTTTTGAATTTATCACAATCAAACAATAATTCTTCTATCTTTACTACAAATTAGTCTATTGGTTTGGCTTCTCTTGAATTCAAAGTTTCCTATACCAAAAATCTTATACTTATTGAATCAAATTCAATCACACTATAAGTGTTTGTCTTTGTCCAAAGCCTTGACTGTCAATTTAGCATATACATATTCAGCAACAATCATGACTATCATTTCTCTATCTTTTTTTGTGAAGAACTTATTACAACACATATATAAGTTGTTATCACCAAAGACGAAATAAGAATGTTCCTATCTTTTTTATGATCAAATTGATTGACAAGTTGGTGGTCATGTGTCTTCAACGTTGACTATTGTCTTAAGCTAGTGTTCACTTCTCCCTTGAAATTTCATCAAACTATTTTACTACCTTTAAATCTTCATTTCTTACTACTATGTTGTTATAATAGAAGAATTTAGGCTAAGTTATTTCATATGTTGTTTACAAAAACAATTGAAATAAATTAGTTATTAGGTACTTGAATTAATTCAAAAATAATGAGTTTAGAAAATAACAGAAGTTACTTATGTTGACAACATCCTTCTTAAGTGCACTTTTCTTTAATCTTCTCATGAAATTATGTGTAATATATCATATACAGTACAAATGCATAAATTTGTTTTTAGTTCAATCAATGTCTTCTCTTGAATGAATATTTTATATGTGTTGCAACTGAGGTCATGTGACGACAAAATATTAGATGGTTCAAAAATATAAGTAAAGTCACCACCATAGTTTATATAGGAAAATCATGGAAAAACCTAAAAAATAATGACATTCGACACCAGATTTAGGTTTGGTAATCGATTACGCGTGGAGAAAATATTAACACCCTACAACATCCATTTTAAGACAGTTGGTCACATTTAGTTAAATGTTTAAAATAAAGATATCATGTTAAAAAATTTTATTTTTCCATAAAACCAGATAACAAACAAAGAAAGAAAAATGAGAAAAGAGAAAAAGAAAATATTTTTAAATTTTTTTTATTTGAATTTAATAAAAAATGATCTTATTCTTATTTAAAATGAGAAATGAGACTTCCGTAGTTTTTTATAAAAAAAATAAGAATTTATGTTAATTAATATTTTGAAATTTTTTTGTTATTTTTGAAAAAAAAAGTAATTTGTATATTATTGTTTTTTTAAAAGAGATTATAAAATATAAGAAAATATGAATAATCGTACTAAATACACTAGCAAAAAAATTATTAAATGAATATTAGATGATGATGAGGATCATACTTATACCTGAAATAATTTATTTTGATAAAACACATTACGCGTACAGTCACATCCGTGTTTTGATGTGTGTGACCAAACTTTGACTTAAAAAAAAAAAAAACGGTAAGTGAAATCAAATGTAAAGCAGAGAGAGAGCCACCTAATATAATGAAACGTATTGGTGAAGATCGAAAACTATTAAATAGAATAAGTCACTGAATCAAAAAGGGGCCGAAAGCTAAGCACATCCAAATTATTTATAAGCAAGGGTCTTGACGAAGCCTCAAATAGATTCTCGAATGATTAAAACTACAGACAGAGAGTGTGAAAGCCAGAAAACAGCATTAAAATTGGAGAGGGGAAAAACAAAAAGAAACAACGAAGTCAGGACAATCAGAAGCGAAACAAACTAAGCCAATATGACCAAAATCAATCAAGGAATTAAACAGATTCATGAAGGACCATTCCACCACCACTCCCTGGGTGACCCGCGGCCAATCAGGATAGTAAATGAAGACATAACTCGCTATGGCCGGTGGCGCGGTGCAGACGAGAGGTTTCGGTGGAGCGCAATCCCAGTGCGGCTTATGGTGGCTGGGTTGGAGGGTCCACGGTGAGGGGAATTGGTGGCTAGGTTCACGGAGGCAGTTTGGGTGATGGTTGGGGCTCGGTGGCTCACGCGGTGATTCCGACGAGGGGAGGTGTGGTGGCTGCGTGTGGGGAGTGAAGGAGCGGACTGCGGGTGGCGCGTCGGGAACAAGGAGTTTGTTCAACAAATATTATCCATAATTTTATTAATATAATTTATATATATTTAATGTATTTCTTTAATTAATTATTAATAATTAATATAAATTTTGTAAAAAATAATATCTTAATATAACTCATTACTTAAACGGTATATTTATCTAATTATTTATTTTGGTAATAATTATAAATTAAAAAATTAATTTAATGGAATCTGTTGAATTTTTTTAAGTGCACGTCGAACCAATTCAATTAAAAATTTATTTAGTATATGAAGAAATAAAAGATTTATTTAGTATATAAAAAAATACTTAGCGAATTAATCAAATCTCATTTTGTTTTTATATAATGTTATTTTAAGTTATAATACGTAATTATTATAGGTCTATAAATAGACTTTCATAGTATATAAGTGTTGTTTTATAAATAAGTTTTGAATACAAAAATATATAAGCTAAGTTTGAATTGCAAGTTATTTTTTAAATTTTTTTATTTTTAATTATATTTATTTCATCTTTTCTTTATTCTTTAGTTTTACTAAGTGATTCATCTATTACGTCATATTTCATCTCATTTCTTTATTGTTGTTTTCATGTTGTTCTTAGTTTTTCACTTGTTCATGGTATTATTGTTGATCCACTTATTAAAATTTGTTTTTTTTAATTTAAATTTGATTTTTAATGATTCTAATCGATTATAAATCATAAATATAATTGAGGTTATTTGATTGAATGTATGTTTTACATCATAATTTAATTTGTAGGTTTAAATGATTGTGTAACTTAAGAATTGAGTTGTAATTACGAATTTTAATTAGATTTTAATTATTTAGAATTATAGATTTATTTTAATAATTATAATACAAATCTTAAAAATCAATGATAATCATGAAAATAAGTTATTGATTAAAGAATCAACACATTTTTTTTAAATATATTTCTTAGTGTTATTAAATTCATTTCATTTTAATTGTTACTTTGATTTTATTTTTACTTCTAAATATTAATTTACAATGTTTCTAAGAAATTGTATAGATTTATAAAAGTAAATTTAATTCAATGTTTTACTATTATGCATTTACTTTAGTTTTTTTAGATTAGATTTATTGTTTTCCTTTAATGTTTTTCATTTATTGTTTTCTTTAAATGCTTTATTTACTTACTTTTCATAGTTTAAGTTATTTACTTGCTTTCATAGTGTAAGTTTATTATTTTTATTTACATACTTTTCATTTACAATAGAATTGTTTACAATTTTAATTAGTTTCATAGTTTATTATTATCAATTTACATTTTGCATTTAAAATCATAAAATTCTCATTTTTCCTACCATTTGAAAATTAATATTTAAATAAAATAAAATAATGTTTTAAGAATATGACCTATAACAACTCTAATACGATATTATTTTTATTATAAATTTTTTGATGATATTTAGGTAACAAGATTCACTTTATCAGAGTTGTCGGAGATGAGGGAGGCGGCAGGCAAGGTGAGTGTGAAGGATGCTAGGAGTGGGGCCGCGGTTGTAATGGTAACTCGCGGTGGTTTGGAGGCAGTTCTGGTGAGGAGAGAAGCTGCGGGTGATAATGAGGGATTGGTGAACGTGAGAGGGGCGAATGATTTGTGCCAGGGAGACTGAGATGGACGGAGGAGGTGAAGGCTGAAGGTTAATGCAGGTTGGCCGTGTGTGGATAAAAGAGACAGTTACACTGTGTTTGGATTAATGCAGAAATTTGAGATTATTTAGAGTGTACAGTGGAATTATTTGAATGGAGAAAAAGATATTATACTTAAATATATTTGAGTAAATTTATTATAATTTATATAATTTTGTATAATTAAATATAAAAAATAAAATAATAATTTTTTTATAATGATTAAAATATTTTTATTATTTAAAAATAATAATAATTATGATATAATTAAATATAAAAATATTAATTAATTTATATTATAATTGATTCTGCCCAGGTCCTCTTAATCTCTGTCACCGATTTATTGGGTTTTCGTGTTCTTTTTATTTAAAAATAATGTTTTGATTATGACTCGACCCATTTAAGGGAATTAAGTATAAAATATATTTTTGTTATAATTTAAATTATATATTTTAAATTTTTATATTTTGAATGAATGTTTAATAAAGTAAAATTTTATTACGTTATTAATAATTTATAAGTTGGTGTAATTGTTTTTAAGTTGATTTTATCTTAAATACAATAATTAAATAATATTGAAATAAATGTTTAAAATTAAATATGATAAAATTTAATTTAAGTAATTATTATATTAAGTTTAAAATTATTTATTATTATTATAAATTTATCGATTTTGTTAAAATATAATATTTTGGTGTTTTTATAAATTCGTCAAATTTACTTTTATCATGTACATAAATAAAAAAAATATTTTTATCTAAAATAAAATACAAAACATTATTAAGTAGGTTGGAAAAATTATAAAAGAAAGTATAAAAATATATAAAACTTAAAACATAGAAATATAATATTAAAAGTAAAAAATAATACATAAATGAAAAGTGAAAAGAAATTTAATTATAATTGATTATGTTAAATTGATTATAAAAACTTAAACAATCCATTATGATTGACTAAGTTATTATTGTAACACTCATATAATATATATATATATATATATATATATATATATACTTATTTTTTTACAAAATTATTTTTTGTCAATTTTCTTTTTCAACTTGACAACTATTTGAATATAAAATAAATTAAAAATATTAATAAAAATATATAATAAAACTAATTTCATTTAATTTAAAAATATAATGAATTAAAATAAATTTATTCTAATTTTAAACTTAATTTTAATAATTATAATTATAAGAGTTTAATTATTAATATATGTTTTATATTGTAAAATTAAAAAAGATTAAAATAAATAATTAATGTCACCTTTATATTTAATTAAATCATATTTTTATATATTTTTTTATGTATCCTCTAGTATTATTTTTAATGCAAATAAGATACTTGTATTTATTTGAGTAATAGAATTGATTCTTGTAATTAAATCATAATAATTTGCATTTTATATGTTATATAATATAAATAATATTTGTTATGTTACTTAGACGAGATAATTGATTATAATTTATTATTTTATGTAATAAAGTGAAATAGATTATTTTCTCTTTCTCGATCAATTATATTTATTTATTTTATATAATAATTGATAATTAAAAGGTAATAAAGACATTCATAATTTATATCTAACTTTCTTTATAAGATTTTATGAATTCAAATTAAATGTAAAATTTAGGATTTAAAGTTTAGGTATTCAAATTAAACGTAAGGTTCACTCAACTTTTTATGCAATCATCAAATACAAACTATATTTTTCTTTTTAAATTTATCTTTTCTTTTTTTTTTCTTTACAAGAGATAACTAGATCTAAACACAAGTTTAAGGGAGAGTGATTGTCTCACTTAAAAGAGAGAAGAAGAAGGTTGAATGAATGCGACTTCCCCTTTTAAGCTAGAAATTAGGTTAAAATTTAGGCCAACAATCCAATAATAGGTTGTGCCTTAAATAAAAAATCTTTTTTATATATATAAATTTTCTCTTAAAAGTAAAAGGCTAATAAAAAGCTATTTATCTTATTTTTTTTAATGGATATTTCTTAAAAAAATATAAAATACTAATAAAAGGAACTATTAATTTTAATCTTAATCTTTTTTATTATTATTTTTTATTTTCTTACAAATGTAAAATGTTAACAAAGGAAATTATTTATTACTTTTCATCATCATTTTTTTCTTTTTTTTTCTAATTTTAAAAAACAATATATTAAGAAAGTGATAAATAAAGTGATAATGTTATGAAGGTGATAAATAAAGTGGTAATGTTATGAAGGTGATAAATAAAGTAATAAGTTATGTAATATGAAATTTCTTGATATTTTCCTACTTAGGATTATTTTTTCTTCAATTTAACAACATATTTGACATTCAAATTTGTTACCATTGAATTCGCTGCAGTGAAAACTACAAATCATGTTCAATAATGTCATCAAGGTAGTAAAGTTCATAAAATGGTCAAAGTGATAAGTTATGTAACATAAAATTTCTTGATTTTTCCCTACTTTAGATTGTTTTTTCTTCAATTTAACAACATATTTGACACTCAAATTTGTTACTATTGAATTCGTTATGGTGAAAACTATAAAAACTAAAGGTCATGCTAAATAATGTTATCAAGATGGTAAATAAAACTCATGAAGTGAAAGTGATAAGTTATGTAACATATAATTTTTCTTATTATGTCCCTACTTTGGATTGATTTTTCTCTACTATGATAAAATTCCTCTGTATCATGCCCTGACACACACTTTTCTAGGTGTTAGCATAAAGTAATAACCAAAATCAACGATCAAGATTGTGTCCACCTTATCCAACAGTCCAAGTCACAACACATAGATAATTGTTCATGATAAGATTTCTTTGTATCATATCCTAACACACACTAGTCTAGGTGACAACAAAAAGCAACGATGAAGATCAAATCTCCATACATCAACGACCAATGGACCAAGTCACAATACAGAGGTCACTGTTTATAATAAGATTCCTTTGTATCATGCCCTGACACACACTGTCCTAGGTGTTAACAAAAAGCAACGATCAAGATCAAATCTCCATACATCAACGGTCAAGATCAACTTGTATGGCATGTACACTTACCTCTATATATAGTGTCATTTGCAACTTCTCATTTACAACACTTTCAGAGAAATCTTACTAACTTTAATTGTATTTTTGTGTATTTGAAAAAAAAAAACTACAATCTTCGACAATGTTACTATGGAAACAAGTTCAGCATATAGGTCTGCTTCCATAAGAACAATGGTAATATTCTTATGTCCATATTGTTTATATGTTTGTCTTTGTTTACTAATTACGTTAATTATATTTGACCAGGTTTACTAAAATTCTTTATTATTGCAGGACCCTAATGATAGTATTTTCATACTGTCACTCAATGTCCAAGTCACACCATTTAGTTGTTCCTATACTAGAGGAAGCTGACTTTGAGGAAGTGACAAGATTAAGACATCTAAAAGTCGACTACGATCTAGTCACTGCTTTGGTGGAGATATAGAGACCTGAAACACATGCATTTTATCTACCCATAGGTGAATGTAACATCACATTAAAAGATATTGCACTACAACTTGGGCTATGAGTGAATAGTCATTCGATTATTAGACCCACAATATTCGACTGGGATATGTGTGACATGTATTTTGGAATCGTGTCAATGAAAGGTGAAACACTCATTAGATGAATGGTTAAGCTGAAGTGACTAAGAGATAACATGTTGCTACTACTAGAGGAACCATTAGAGGACTAACTACATGCCCATACTAGGGCATATATGGTAGGGTTAATCAAATGTGTTTTGATGTTTAATAAAATAGGTAATAAAGGACACCTCATGTATTTACAATTTTTTACTAATTTTTGTACAAGAAAATGTGTCAAGCAACCAATGTTAAGGCAAAAACAATGGGTGATTGTGCCTTACTATTGCAATCATGGGCATGCCATCGTATGTCATATATTGCACCAATTAGTCGCATACAACTAACATATCCATTAGTGTGCAAATGGAGTGGGGACAGGATTTTAAACTTTCAAAATGTACCACACAATAATATGGTTGGGTATTGAGCAAGGATTGATCATATTCAACCTCACTAAGCAAACTTGATTAACACTTTCATTATTAAATATATGTTTTAATTTAGTTTTTACTAACTACTTACTCATAACTTTGTTGTAGTTTTTATGGATACCATATCGAGGGTTAGAAACATCAATAATATCGGCACAAACATACTAGGATTCACATTTGTGGATGTCTTACACGACCATAATTTATTTTGCAGTTATGAAATGGCATCAATCTGATCAAGTTAAGTTTCAATTTAGTTTGTTTCAAGAAGTCTCTTCTCCTCAGCAAAATCTAGACAACTTGCACAAAATTGACAAGCAGGGGACACATGATGAAAATTGACAAATAAGGCATGTCAAATGGATCAATATATAGAACAACAGACGAAACTTTGTACTAACAAGTCTACCAATGCAAGGGTCTTTCTATCACATGAAAGAATACATGGAATGATATTTATTATTTGTGTCAGAACTACTTTAAGATCAAAGAAATCAACAACGTGCACACAACCAATCACACACATTTGAAACTTACTCATTCACTACATCATCATTTCATATGCATCCACACCAACCATTCATAAGTATTTTCTACTGGACACCTCCACTACAACCGGAAATAGATCTTACATAACTTTCTTTTGCTTCAAGTTCAAATAATTTTTTTTCAAATTTATTTAGAGAAAAACCTACAACACTCTCATCTGCCCATGATTATAAGTCATCAATGTATCCACCACAGTATCATCACGAAGGAACTAGTTCATCTACCTTCCTCATGAAGCACCTGAACAACAACCACCGCAAGAAGGACCACCCTAAGAAGAACATCAAAGAAGAAATTTGAGATGTAATAGACAACATCCTCATTGTGGAACTAGTCACCATTATAGAGACTAGTTTAATTTTTATGTAACAAATAATAACTTCTTTGTAATGCATAGTAACTATATTTTAACTTTTTTGTAATGCATATTAGCTTTTCTATAATTCATTTTAAGTGTACTTTCTTTTTATTTAAATATTATTTTCAACTATCCAACTTTATCAATTTCTTAAAATATAAGAAGAATTTACTAAATTTCCAATAAATATTTATATCTAATTATTTAACATTAAAACCTAAAATCATCATAAGTAATGAATTAACTTAATGTCAACAACTAATAAAGACGCACATATGTCAACAATTAAAATGTTGTTTGTCCTCAAATAAAACTTCTTATATGGATATATAAAGTTCTAGGTACCCAAGACTCAAGTCAAAGTAAATACTTTACTATTCACGATAAGACTCCTTTGTACCCAATGATAGATCTTGACCATTGATTTTTGGGGAACCAAATAATATATTATTAATAAATAACAAATAAATATAAAAAAGTAAAAAAAGATGAAAGGATGAGAGGATAAATTTATAAATATATTAAATGATTATTAAGTTTAGGGGATCAAAATCATAAATTATATGAGAGTTACAAAACTGAGTGGATGGTGAGAGGATAAAATTGTAAATATATAAGTAAATATAATAAATGATCATTAAATTTGGAAGGCCCAAAATCATAAATTATATGAGAATTACAAAATTTTAGGGGTCACGACCTCCCTCAGTTCTCAAGAAAATTTGACACTGTATGTACCACACATTAATGCACGTTGTCCAATATCTTAGCAAAATCTAACGATCAAGATTATATCCTAAAATATCAACAATTAAGATGTAATTTGCACTATCCAAAACCAACCTAGGGATGCATGACATACTTTTCAAGATAAAACTTCTCTATATCACACATTTGACACACACTGCCCAATATCTACACTATCCAAGACCAACCTCGAAATATATGTTATAATGTTCGGAATAAGATTCATCTGTACCATATACTGTTCAAGGTGTCAGCAAAAAGTAATTGTCAAAATTGAATTCCAAAATATCAACGATCCACATTTAACACACATTATCCATCGTCAAAGTCAAGTCATCATTACGCTGTCTAAGACCCAACTCAAAATACAAATTACACTAATTTATTATAAGGACATTTACGTCTACACAATACAATAAATGACATATATAAATTCAAGTTTGCTCTTATAAAAATTTGCCCACTCATATTGCCTATCAATAATCATATTCAACCTTTGTGTTCTTCTTTTTACTCTTCAAACAGAGGAACTTGGCATCACAAACATTAAAAATTTTGATAATTCTTATCTTGCAACAATGTTTGCAAATAGACAAATCATAACAAATGAGGAAGGGGTATACTTTCAATATGCATCTCCTAAACTTATTCAAATTCCACACAGTTGCACATTCATCATTTTGAAGGAAAAAATATGCACTTCTTTAGGGATTCCTGCAGACACTTATATCAACAAATTGTATTACCGTCAACCAAAACTAACAAGTGATGATTTAATTATATATTATGTTACTGAAATATTTTCTAATATTGATGTATCTAAACATGATTACGTGGAATTCACAATTCCCTCTGATACTATCATTGAATTATATGTTTAATATACAAGATTCACTGATGAAATAATGATGTTTTTAAACCCTCTTTTTTTACCCTTTCCACAAATCCAAATAGCATCCCTTCCTCTAAAACTATAATTTACTTTGGTGGACTTGTTCAACATACAACCATCATAGAAAGTTCAAATGATTTTGGTCTTATTTATACATGTTTAAACCTTACAACAATGATAATGCAATACACATGGTCTTTTATTGAACTATATGAAAACATTACTTAAGTATTAGACTATGAAAATAAAAAACAAATTACTAAAATCAACTAATGTAGTTTAATTCACGACTCAATATACATTAAAATTGATGTTGATGTAACCCAAATGATCAACCACTTAAAAAAAATATAATCTCTACACCCAACCATACAACGTGAATAAACATGAGAAAATATTGAATTGATTGAATTATTTGTTGAAGTTAAAACTATATGAATGAGAACCTAAAAAGATATTAACGACTTAGTTTTAAATTACTATTAATAAAAATATTACCAATACATTTTACACATATTTATGATTAGTTGATATTAAAAAAGAATTCAAAAGATGTGAGTTTTATTTATTGAAAAATTATTTTTTATTTGTTTTTAAAGTTTAATTAAAGGCTTTAAAAATGTTGCCCAAAACATTGGAGAGATTATATTTTGCAGCAAATTAAATTTCGGAAACTTAGTACTTGTCAACTCTTTTTTAGTAAGAAAAGTGAGTTCTAATATATGTATATTTTGAAATATAAAATTTTGTTTTTTGAATTTATTTAGATTAATTTATTAAAATTATTTTATAAATTTGGTCTCTTTTCTCATCACTTGAGGTACAAAGGAATCAATGCATATTAAAAAAAATGATAGACAATTTAAATAAAAGCAATTTAAATGTTTAACATTTTAAAATTTTAAAACTTTCCATCCAAACAAGGTAGTAAGTTTCAAGCACGCCAACCTTAGCAACTTGAGATGGTTTCATTTACTTTTCAACAAAGTATAATTACAATTTTGGTGCAACATTAGTCTGTCTAAATCCAGTGGCTACTCCTGTGACCAAGGAAATCAAAATTGCAGCAAGTAAGAAAAAGTGAACTTGATGACAAAACTTCTTACAATATAAACTTAATAGTTCAACTCGTCAACATCGATTAGGAAAGCAAAATCTTCACTTTCTAATTCTTCATGAAGAAGATTAATAGACGATGCTTCAAACCTCTTAATAGGTGGCATATCATTATTTGACGATCTCTGTCCCTGAATTTTTTTTCATCAAAACATGTTAAACAATGAATAATCATTATCAACCTCTTATGCATAATCCTACTCTAAATCGTATAACCAGAACTAGATTTAAGAAACAACTCATTGTGCGCTTGAATTGACTTCATGGCGAGAAATAATTATTTTTTCCCGGTGAAGACAAAACAACAAATAGTCGCTTCTACTTTTCAAGGAATCGTGGTAGAATGGATTCTTGTTTGTTATCCAAACACACTATCAGATGTCACTAGTGCTCCATCAAAGGTTATACAAAGACCCTTCCCGACCTGAGAACAATATGTATTCACACTACCCATGATGAAATCTATACTTAGATTTCTTTGATATGGCATTTTAGCCATCAAATTGGTTGTTTAAGTACATAATAACAGATGATATTCAGCATCACTGAGAACCAATTTGGAAACGTGAAGTTTTCACTATGAAGGAAGTCAACGGAAAAAAGGTTTTCGTAGAAAACTCAGATGTTAAATTGGTAGCAATACATTAAAATAATAAGGAACAAACGTTTGTTTCATCAGAATAAGGAAAATAAGTAAGGTTTATATTTACCAACCTTCTTCAGAACATAGACAAAATAGTGAAAGGTTTCACCAAAAGTAGTCCACTCAACAGACCAGCTGAAATCTGGTGCATTAAATATAGGGCGCCTGAAATGTGGCTGCCAATATTATAAATAGATTAGAATGAATCACAGCAATAACAATTAAAACGGACACACCTAACAGTTCATTTTTAAACCTGGCCAAAAGTTACTGAAATAAATGTGCCACCAGCTTTCAAAACCCTGTGAACACCTTTCAAAGTGGCCATGACCTTGGATATAGTTTCAGGCTTTGGATTCCATGGGTCACCACTGTCCACGAACAACACATCCTTCAAAACCAAAAATCACATGTATCCCATAAACTTCAAAAACTCATCATACGTGAACCACAATCATTAGTTTAAGCTCAAGCCAAAATCCCATCATAAGTCAAAGGAAAATCATTCAATTTACCATAGTTCCTTTCTCAATAACCAAATCAAAACACTCATCCCCAAAAGGTAGCTCTAGCATATCAGCTTGCAGCACTTTTATGTCTAATCACAGAAATGAAAATATGTAAAAATTATAACAGGAACACAGAATCCCATTACAAAGCTAATATTGATAAATATGTAGCAAATAATTAAGCTCCTTAGACAAGGTTTTCTTATGGAAAAAATAAAATTAGTTTCTCGCATAACTTCAAATTGCCTTATGAATGCACAAGTCTAAATCAATTTTTTTTTTAAGAAACTAATTATAAGGGTAAAAGGAACTGAGGTCGAATGCTGAAGCTGACCTTTGAATCCCCGGGAGAGTAACCTCTTTTGCATGTTTTGAACTGCAACATGTGAAAGATCAATGCAAGTTATGTTAGTTGTACCATCTTTATGCAATTGTTCACACATTTGTGAGTTTCCACATCCAAGCTCCAGGACCTGCAAATACATTCAAGTTAGCTATATACCATAAATCGTAACCTAATGTGTGAACGACATACAGCGGAATGGGGCGTGAGATGGGGTTGAATCAAGTGGCGAAAGTGGGAATAATCCTTGAACCACTCGTACTGTTCCTCCTTGGAGAACCTCTCATCCCTGACACCAACAAAACGAGCATTAAATTAATTTTATAGAAATTCACCAAAATTGTTGAGAAGCTTTGGTCAATGAATAGGGTTTACCAGTAGGAAGGATTAAGGTAGGCCAATGCAGTTGAAGGTGTTGCCGTATCTTCCATTGTTCGTTCCTCTTCAAACTTCAATCCAGAACCCTAACACCAATGATGCAGGCCTTAGCCATAAAATTTCAATTACCTTATTTTTAAGGAGGGAATCAAATTGATCCTAATTTAAAAAATAAGAAACCTAATTAGAGTTTTTAAAAATGGAGAAAAATCGTACTCTTTGCTTAATTATAAATTAAAATCGGCTATAATTTTGAAATAACTGCTTTAAAACTTAAATTGTATATTTTAACTTTTAATCATCGACATGATTTTACCAATTTTATAACTTTTAAGATATAAAATTATAAATAAGTAAATAAGAGGTGTTTTTACTATTGACATTAAGAATCTAAATTAATAAATTGCTTTATACTAAAAGGAATTAAATTAAAATACCTATTATAAAATGCTTTAATTTTTTTTATAAAAAGGAAATAAACAATAAATATAAAACTAGATTAACACGATTTATTCAAGAGAAAACTACATGTTTAAGTTTGAGAGTAATCTGTCATACTTAACCAAGCTTCACCAATATTTAATTTGATATCTTTTGTTGAGTAAAAAAAACATATTTAATTTGGTATTAAGAGAGATATTAAAGTGTACTAAATATATTTTATAATAATGGCAATAAAATCATGAGATAATTTGTCGCATACAATTTAATAAAACACGTTTAATAATTTAATAAGCATATTATATTATTTTATAATTTTCGGATCGTCAAAGAATTGTCAATACTTCGTAAAAAAAAAACACTAATATTGTTCATGGTTGTTAATTTCATATGAAATATCGTCCATATTTTTAATGTATTTATTGAAATATTTTTCATTCATATTTTTAACTTTCATAACAATTATTTACATTTATGTTTTTTTTTATCATAGAAGTCTCATTTATATTGAATTAAAACAAGAAAAAAAATTGTAGGTACTAAAAATTATTAGTCCAAAATTAATAATAAATAATGGATTAAGAAACATAATATAATACTATAATATTGAAATAGATATTTCAAATCAAACAGATTAGTTAAGAATAATAAAAATAATAATAAATAAATAAAATAAATTTAAAAATAGTCTAAATTAAATTTCTGAGTGTTTTCCTATTCTAAGATATGTGAATCCAATAAATCATTCATATATAACGAAAAAATCCCAAATCAGTGAACAACACTTCAAAATATTTAGAAGAAAGATAATTTTAAGGAGAGAAAATAACTTTCAATATACCCTTTCCGTATAGGTCTATTTATAAATGTAAGACACGATTAAAAAGAACTATGAAGTTAATTCTCCTTCCCATAAAAGAGTTATTAAATATCTAAATCAACCAGTAAAAGACATAGTCAACTATTAAAAAAATAATAATAAAATATATAAATATAATTTAAATTTTAAATTAATTTCCAACAAAAACTAAAAGCATTTTTTTCCCACTTTATATTTAAGACAACCTTTTCCAACTCCAACTTATAAGACCACGGAAAGAGTGAGGGACAAAATCTTAAGGAGTGGTCACTTTATGCGTAAATAAAATTAGAATATAAATAGTGATACATTTTCTTTGTTTAAACTGCAACATAGGAAAAATAAATTACAAAAAGGAGCAACAGTGTTCGTTGAGTTTCGCCAAAAAGGTCATAACAAATAAATGACACTGCTGAAATTTTCAAATTAGAAAAAATGATTCTCTTCATATTTCGGTGAACATCCTGATCTTCCATATTTGTTGCCGCATAAACTCTTCAAAAGTTCTGTTAAAATTATGTGTGCAGTCACTTGGGGCAGTAAAAGAAAGCATAAACCATAGCATAATATAATAATTTGCATTTCTAACCTTGAATTGAACCTTGTCTGATTGAATAGGCAGACAATTCCTAGGAATTTCTGAAGGAAGGTGATGGTGATGCAGGTGGCTTCAAGTCCTCGTACCTGGATGTTCATTTCAATGAATGTTAACACTATCTCCATAAGATGAATATAGATTAAATTATCAATAACATGTTATAAGTTAAGGACAACCACCTAAGAATAATGAAATCCATTAAACTTATTTAAGAACTCAAGTTGGGTTCTTGGAATGAAAATTAATGATTGTTTTTAAATCATATGTGCCCACAAACAGCCCACCAAAGGAGAATTAAGAATTCAAATTTAGTTCTTCGAGATGTTCTAAGATGTAATAGTGAGCTTAACACAGATTTTGACCAAAACCTTGATGTATTTGATCTATGCATATTCTCACTTACATGGTTCTACCTTAGTCCATTCCTTACTAATAATGTACGATTTCTCTAATCACTTGAATTTTCTAGTTCCAATCAGTAAACAGAATTCACAATCATACAATTCAATGAGTGAGTCATTAGTTGACAACCTCGTCCTTCTCCCATATATCATTTTTCTAAAGTTTCAACATGCCTTGCATAAGGATTGAAGAGTCATTGGAAAAGAAACAAGAAAAATTGAAGGCAAGTTGAAAGCAGGCTCACATTGTATAAGGTGAAAGTGGTCTTGACTTGGGTTTAGGGAGATGTTCTTCCTTTGGTTCATCTACTGTTGAAAGCTGGGCTGGTCCATTACTTGATATTGTGTCTCTCTGTGGCACAACATCTGCAGCAGATGTGGAAACTGATAGAATTGGTGTATTAGGAGACGGTGAAGTGGGAGGCTTTAAGTCAGGATATCTACAGGCATAACATGGCCTCAGGTCAGGGAACAAAAATAACAAGAAAATTACACCGAGGGCAGTGAAAAATTGACAAAGGTTGAAACCAAACTGTATAAGGTCAGGTGTTAAATGTGTATTAACAAAGAATGAAATTAGACTTACACATGGTAGGGCGTTTAGGTAAGAAAAACAGTAATGTGCATTAAACTACATGCACAAAATTATAAGGAAGCTTACGCTGCATAAGGAGAAAGAGGCTTCTCCACTTTAGATGAAGATGTTGCCTGACTGGTGCCACCGACTCCTGGCACACCACTTGGAGTATCTAAAGCACTTGGTTTTGGCACTGTCTTACTGATATTATCTTGTCTTTCACCACCAGGCTGAGATGGAGTAGGAGATGATGGTGGCTTCAAATCATCATAACTGATAAAAAAAAGCATGAAATTAGTTTAGGCTCTACAGTCCACAATGCAAAGTTGGTTGTGTCCTAATCCTTATAACCTAATCAGAAAGAGCAACATATTTCACTACATAACATTTTAATATGTTTAGGCAATATTTGCAAATTTGGCTTACGTGGTATAGGGAGAAAGTGGCTGTTTTGCCACTGGTTTAGGTTGTGTAGTTTCTTGCTCAGTGGAAACAGTAGGTTCCGCAGTCACAATATTAGCAAGGGGATCTGGAATACTGACAGCTGCAATATCTGGTTTCTGAACCAGCCCAACAGAACAATTAACTAATATCACTTGTTAGAAATAGCAAGGTAGAATGGCCAATAATGAATAGCACCCTCAGTGGGAAGTTGAACAGATGAGCAGGAGGAGTTCCACTTTATGCTTCAAAGTTTCGACCATCCATATTTCTCAAGACTGAGTTTGATCAAGTATTTGTGCCTTATAATGTACAGTACTATATAAGGAAGGAAGTACCTTGGGTGAAGAAGTGCAAGGGCGTTGAGATGGTATCTTTGCAAGAAGTTCCTCCATGGGAGTCAGCGGTGCAGTTGTCTCCGCAATTGCCTCCACTATTTTACAACATGATAGATCACGATTCTTGGCCATGACTGCCAAGAGTTCAGCAATCTACAATGAATCGGAGCAAGTTAATTTTGCACTTGGCTAGAACATACTTACCAAACTAATCAACCGCACATACTAAAATTCATAAGAGGCAACAACGACTGCCAACATATTTACATTACTTTCCAAACATACAAGAAACATGGGACGGCACATAATATGTATTTTGTTTTGTATGTGCAGACAAGCATGGATTAATTAAAAATGGTGATATTGACCTCATTAGATATGTATTCCTAATCAATATACCCTGTGGTAACACAGCAGATAGAAAAGATAGCAATCATATTTGAAACTTATATACATACATGACCTGCAGATACAGAAAAGGAAAATCTATGTTAGGCTCAATTTTATTGATATAACTGGGATTTTTCAGAATAATCTTACAGAATAATGTAGATAATATTTGTGAACAAGGGATTAAAGATGCCATGAGAATGCAAGTGAAAAACAAGATAACCGTAATCTGCACGTTGTTAGATACTGATATTGCACCCATGTCAGGGTGGGGATTGGTAGAAGGAGAATGACAATCCGTATCCACTGGTAAGGAATCAAATGTAAAAAGGTTTTGTAAGAAATTGTAAGATTGGATTCTACTAATGTACTCTCATTTAGGACATTCATTAGCACAGTCCTCAATTTCCAGTCAATGCATTGTAAGCTTTTATGTAAGTAGATTGGCAATGCTCATACCAAGAAAATATATCTATCATAATTTATAGCTATACACATGAAAACATATCACATGATAAGTACCTGAAGGTTTGACACCTGACCCCCAAATAAAGTATCTTCTGTTGACAGGGTTATATTATGAGTTTCCTTGAAAGCATCAGTAGGCCGCTCCATACCTCCAGGTCTCACTATCTGAAGAGTACAAAATATTTAGTCAAATAGAACCCTGCACTTGGGTGAAATTAATACGAGAGATGGATAATGACTCACTGTGTATGGAAGTCCACTGGCCAACAGTGCTTCTTCTGCCTTCCTTTTCCAAACAAGGACTCCCCAAAACAAACTTCAGAAGCAGAATTAAGCAATTAGCTGAACTTCTGTATGATGTCAATATGTGAATAATAACTACCCCTTGACTACAAACTACAAGTATGGAAATTTTTAGACACAGCTTGTATATGAGAAAGCTTTCTTACTCACTTGAGGATAGCTGCAGGAAAGCCAATTTTGTTTGTTCCTAGTGAAGTAACCAATATGAAGTGATTTACTTTGGCAACAGTTGCTGCAAGGTAGAGAAAACAAACATTTTGCATTTTTGTGTTTTCAACTTTTAATACAAAATGAATTAATCACTGCTCGAGACAAAAATACGTTCAAAATAGCAAATAATAATCATTAACTGATTAAGCCAAGCTGATTTCAAGATTGAGGCTTAACAAATTTGAGCAGTAAACAATGTTACGACAAATAAAGACCAAAAGATATAAAAGGCATATAACATAAGGCACTTAAACATAACGATAATGAAAGCTCTTTGTTACCAGCATCAACTAGATTTTTTGTGGCCTGATAGTCTATCCGAAAGGGTCCAGTGATGTCAAAAACTTCCTTCTCACTGGCACCAATGCTACATATCACTGTTGACGCATTGCCTAATGCCAATCCAATTGTATCTGGTTTCTCCAAATCACATTCCACAATTTCAAGCTTCTCTACAGCTGGGCTAAAACCCAAAAAAATCTGTTATTCAATACACCAGCATTTTGTTGTTGGAACCAAAACATGTTGATTTCAAAACTTTCTTGCCTTACCTTGTCCTCCTCCAGCTGCACTTGTACCATCAAGCTTCAATTGTTCAACACTCTGAACATATTTGCATCTTTAATGCATTCTCTTTTACACAAGATATTAGTCATACAAAATTTTTCAAATAATTAATTTTACGCTACCTTAACTAATGCACCCGCCCTCTGAGCACTCCGCAATCCAGCTCTGACTCTAAATCCAAGCTTTATCAGCTCCCTGGATGAGAGAAACTATCATTACTTCGCATTTTGAAAAGGTTAGCATTTAGAAAGGAAAATGCGGTGTAACAACTAATAAACGTACCTCACTGTCCGTGAACCAACTCTACCAGTAGCACCCGCAACAAATACTAAGTTTTCATCCTTGGCATCTGTTTTCTCAGATATCCCCTCAGCAGTACCCGCACTAGATTTTGTTGAACCTTGCATAAAAGTTGCATGTTTAGATCCTCAAAAAGCACGTTTAGACGTTTGATTTCAGATAAATGTCTACATATGTGATCTCAGGTTGATGAAGTGAAACAATTTAAGTAACTTGTGCAAATAAAAAAAATTATGTTGAGTTTTATTGTTACTAAGTTTCTTTTAGAATAAAAGCATACAAAAATAAATCAACTCACTTCAAATTAATTTTAACCCAGATCAATTTGAATCAAAATCAATTTTGTAACAGGGTCACTAGGACACGCATTAGGATCAATGACATTCCAAGTTAAGAAACATATTTTAGAGAAGGAGCAACATTTATCACCTGAAGCTTGAGCTCTAGTGCAACGAATTTTGTGTTTTGTTGATCTCGTGGCACAAGGGTACCTCGTGAAATGTGAAAGGTTAACATGGGCACAAGGTTTCTCAGTGGCCCCTCGATGTGACAAGGAGGAGGGAATGGTGGTTGCAGTGAGCGACTTTACGGAGAAAGCCTCCATAGGCATAGGTAGAATGATGTGGGGGTTTGGGAATGAGAAGGGGAATTGTGAAGTTTAGTTTTGATGATGTTATCCATTGCTATCTTCTCTCATTGGCACCAATGCCATCCTCTACTCTCTGTGGATATCATACCCCTGCCCCACATGTGTGACGACTCTTGGGGACTCTGGGTTCCGGTTCCTAAACCACCACAACCTTTTTCTTAATTTACGTGGATTAAAAAAATCTGATGCATAATTTTTAATTTCATATTACACAGTACTTGTTTACTAAGATGTTGTTAGTTTCATTTGTACTAGAATTATGGTAATAATAAAAACCCTTAATCGACTCATAAAATCACTCCTTACAAAAATGAGTTCCTCTATGACTATGGATGACCAGATATTAGAAAACAGAGAAATGTTAATAACATATAATATAAAATGATTTTTTTTATATATTTTTGAATGAAATTTACATAAATAATGGATCATATTTTTATATCAGTACGAATTATCAGCGTTTTAATAACATAAATAATTATTTTTAGAAAAGTGTCCAATTTAATTCCAATAATACTATCTCTAATAAACTTATTTTTTCAAAAATAAAATATAAGTGAGACACAACAAGAAAATTTTATGTATGAATTTCAACTAATAAAAAATATTAATAAAACCTATTGTTACTTAAAATTATCACATGAAAAGTGATACTTTTGCTTATTTTATTTAAAAAGGAAAATTATATTACAAAAGGGAGCAAAAGTATAATTGTTGAAGAAAAATAAATGACAGCTAAAAATTTGGATTGGCAGAAACATTTCTGTTTATATCTGAGTGGCCATCCACCATGAGATGCTGTGCATAGACTCTTCAACGGTTGTACACACAATCATCTGCTTTTTTAACCTTCCTGTTGCAAGCAGTTCTAAGATTTTCTGAAGAAAGGTGATGGTGATGCAGGAGGCTTCAAGTCCTCATACCTGGGTGTTCATTTGAATGAATCAGAATGTTAACACTGCCCACATAATGATTAAACTAGCAATGTCCTAAACATGGAGGACAAAACATAAGATAATGATCATAACTCAGATAGATGGACCTATCTATATACAGGGCAAGGAAGAGAAATAAATAGCCTAGCAATTAACATGAAAATGATAGAAATCACACTTGTGTAAGTGAACTTGACTCTATTTTGACCCAAAGTATTGATGTATTTGATGTATGCATCACTTACTAAGTCCTACCTTCAGTCTTTTCATTATATGACTTCTTTTCTTACCCACTTGGATTTCCAGCCAAATATAAAACACCCTCATCCCTTGCATATCTTTTCCAAGATTTACTGATTAGACATGCTTTACATTAAGAAGTGACCTTCAGAAAATGGCCAATGTAACAATGACATTCAGAAAGATAATGGAACAATGACCTTCAGAAAAATCATTTCCCTTTATGACATTACTTCCAATAAAACCCTAAAAATGTGTTAACATAGATCCAACCGAAGGAGAAAACTACGAAGAATGGACTCATGCTCTCAGGATTGCACTGAGAGCAGAAAATTTGGATTTGTGAATGGATCTATTAATCATCAAGGATCACTATATCCAGAAGAACGGTGGACCAAAAACTATTTATTGATTGTTTGGATAATGAGCAATATTTCTATAAACCATATTGCATACGGAGGTGACATAAGACCTCTGTGAAAACATTAAAAAAAAAACATACATTTTTTCTTAGCTGAGGATTGAACTTACTAAATACAAACAGAAAAGATTACAGACTTTATTGAATATTCTAAATAATGTTAAGAGCAATTGAGACCCTCATGGCTAAAAGGTCCCCTATGCAATTGGTTGATGAATTTGATTGTGTTGTCTAGTTTACTAATAAATTCTGTGTTATACATGACCACTTATTGAGGATGGTGATTAGAGAGGGTGAATCATGAGGAGGACTTTACTATTAAAAGGACAAGAATGAAAAATCTTTAACATGTGGCACAAGCAATTGGGATATCCATCATTTGAAGTTTTACATTTAGTTCCAAATGTTGGCGTTGGTAAAGATATTTTTGGTATAAGGTTTGTGATGTTTGTCTTTTTAGTAAAACAAGAGAAAAAATTTCTATTAGTAATAATAAAATTTTAAACTATTTTTAATTAATTCATTGTGATTTATGGGATCCTATCCAATCACTACACTCTGTGTAGAAGATATTCTTTAACTATTGTTGATAATTATTCAAGAATAACGTGAATATATTTATTAACTTATCAGAAAGAAATCTTTATGAATCTGTACAATTTTACAGGTATGGTGGAAGGTCTATTCAATAAATAAGTAAAAACTGTTCGAAGTGACAATATTATCGAATTTATACGGTTTAAAAATTAGTTTCTTACTCATGATATTGTGAATGAAACATCTTATACAGGAGCTCCACAACAAAATGGCCCTACGTGCTTTAAGGTTCCTTATCGAATTTTGTATTATTACTGTGATACTTATTAAATCAAACTCCATTAATTATTCTAAATGGGAATACACCAGCTACAATTCCTCAATTTAGACATTAGCGTGTTATGCTATGTGCATAACCAAGGATATAAAAAGAGATAAACTTGATATTTTGTGTTATTCACAGTCAATAATGTGTTTTCTTGCAACATTCTTATGTCAAGAAAGATTGACGAGTTTACGATCTTAAATCTATAACATTTTTAATTTCAAGAGATACAGTATTATGTAAGAAATTTTTTTTACTATAACATTCTATCGTATTTTCTAATCATGAAGAATATTATGTTTAATAATAATTATATTTAGAAACTTGCATATATATATATAACATTTTCATATCATATCTCTTCTATTTAAAATTGAAGTAAAATGGGAAGCAACTCACATTATATAAGGTGAAAGTGGTCTTGGCTTGCGTTCAGGGAGATGTCCCTCCTTTGGTTCATCTCCTATTGAAAGTTGGGCTGGTCCATTGCTTGAGACTGTGACTATCTCTGGCACCCCATCCACAACCGATGAGGAAATTGATATAGTTGGTGCATTTGGAGATGGTGAAGTGGGAGGCTTTAAGTCAGGATATCTGCAGGCATAACATGGCCTTATGGAACAAAAGTAGACAAGAAAATCATTCTAAGGGGAGTGGCAGAATTGGCATAAATTTAAACCGAACTATAAATATAATGTCAGGTGCTAATGCATATGCTGATAACAAGAATGGATTAGACTTACAAATGGTATGACGTATAGGTAAAAAAGACGGCAATGCATTTAACTAACATATGAGCACAAATTTAGAGGATCACATACGCTACATAAGGAGAAAGAGGCTTCTCCACTTTAGATGAATATGCTGTATGAGAGATGCCATCAACTCCTTGCACACTACTTGGAGTATTTGAAGCACCTGGTATTTGCACTGTCTCACTGATCTTTGTTTTTTCTCCGCCACCAGGCTGAGATGGAGAAGGAGATGAAGGTGGCTTCAAATCATCATAACTGATAAAATAAACATCCAATTAGTGTATGCCTTCACACTCCATAATGATAAAGTTGACTGTCCTAATCCTTATAACTTCATCAGAAAGAGTAACAGATTTCACTATATGATATTTTGATATCTTTGTCTAGGAAATATATACTAATTTGGCTTACACAGTGTAGGGTGAAAGTGGCTGATTTGCCACTGGTTTCGGTTGCGCAGTTTTTTTCTGAGTGGCAATGCTAGGTTCCTCAGACACTACATTTGCAGAGGGTTCTGGAACACTGACAGCAGCAGTAGTTGGTTCCTGAATCATCTCAATAAACAATGAATTAACGAATAACACTTGTTAGCTATAACAGGGTAGAATTGTTAATAGTAACTAGGACTCTCAGTGAGTGAGTGGGAAGTTGAACTGATAAGCAGGAGGAAGTCAACAGTTATGTTTCTAGTTTCAACCATCCATTTTTCTCAAGTCTAGTTTTGATCAAAGTATGTGTACCATAAATTGTACATTAGATACGAAGGAAGTACCTTGGCTGAAGAAATGTAAGGCCGTTGAGAGGGTATCTTTGCAAGAAGTTCCTCCGCCGGAGTCAGCGGTGCAGTTGTCACTGCAACTACCTCCACTATTTTACAGTAAGAAAGATCACGATTCTTGGCCATGACTGCCATGAGTTCAGCGATCTGCATTGAATCACAGTAAGTTAATTTTGCACTTCGCCAGTTCTCACTTACCTATTTAAATATCAACAAACAGTCCCATAATTTTAGCTTCAAGGATGACAGCGTAATCGATGAGAGTATAGGATATACTTGGCATAGATCAATCACACAACATCAGTACATATATTCCCATTCGTAAGAGGAAACAATGACTTTCAACAATCTACATTACTTTCGAAATAATGGAACAACACGACACTAGTAATTTATAATCTATTCAGTATGAGTATACAAGAATCTAACAAGCATGGATTGAGTAAAAATGATGATATCGACGTATTCATAATCAGACATACCTGCACTGGTGTGGCAGATAGCAAAGTCAGTAATCAAATTTAAAGTTCTCTACATTAGCTTTTAGCTACATATATGAAAACATTTCACGAATAAGTACCTGAAGGTTTGACACCTGTCCCCCAAATAAAGTATCTTCCGTTGATAGGGTTATGTTATGAGTTTCTTTGAAAGCATCAGTAGGCTGCTCCATACATGCAGTTCTGACTATCTGAAGAGTTAAAAAAATGATTAGTTGAATAGAACATTGCATTTGGGGGTAATTAGTATCAGAGGTTCAGAATGGCTCACTGTGTATGGTAGTCCACTGGCTAGCAATGCTTCTTCTTCCTTTCTTTTCCAAATCAGGAATCCCCAAAACAAACTTTAGAAGCAGAATTAAGCAATCAGTTACACTGCTTTATGGTATCAATTTGCAAACATAACTACTCCTTGACTACGAACAACAAATAAAGATATTGATGTACACAGTTAGTACATGAGAAGCTTTCATACTCACTAGAGGATAGCTGCAGGAAAACCAATTTTGTTTGTTCCAAGTGAAGTAACCAATATGAAGTGATTCACTTTGGCAACAGTTGCTGCAAGGTAGAAAGAACAAAGATTTTGCATTTTTTGTGTTTTCCACATTAGAACAATGTAAATTAATGACTGCTCAAGACAAAATCAAAATAATACACATATAAATTGCCTGACTGAAACATAATGAAATCTCACGTTACCAGCGTCAATTAGATTTTTGGTGGCCTGATAGTCTTTCGGAAATTGAAAGGGTGCAGTGATGTCAAGAATTCCCCTCTCACTGGCACCAACGCTACTAATCACTGTTGATGCATTCCCTAATGCCGATGCTATTGTATCTGGTTTCTCCAAATCACATTCCACAATTTCAAGCCTCTCTACAGCTGGGCTAAAACCCAAAAAAATATGTTATTCAATACACCAGCATTACCTTATTGGGAACCGAGACATGTTGATTTCAAAACCTTCTTCTCTTACCTTGTCCCTCTCTTGCACCATCAAGCTTCAATTGTTCAACACTCTGCACAAATTTATATCTTTAATCCATATCTATTTTACACGAGATATTAGACATATAAAAATTCGAATAATCAATTACTAGGCTACCTGAACTAATGAACCAGCCCTCTCAGCATTTTGCACTCCAGCTCTGACTCGAAAGCCAAGCTTAATAAGCTCCCTGGATAAGAGAGGCTATCACTTCTTAGCATTTTGAAAAGTTATCAGAACTGCAGAGCAAGAACTAATAAAGGTACCTCACTGTCCGTGAACCAACTCTACCAGTAGCAGCCGCAACAAATACTAAGTTGTCATCCTTGGACTCTGTTTTCTCAGAACTCCCCTCAGCAGTAAACGTAATAGATTTTGTTGAACCTAGTATATGATGTGCATGTTTGATTCACGTTAGATTATCCAAAATCATGTACAAATGCCAGGTCAATGTGATGTGAGTAACATTTGTACACATTTGAGAATTTTTCTTAGTCTAAAATTGATTTTGAGTTGAAACAACTTCAGAAAAATGCATTCATTAAACAAAAAAAGTTATATGACAATACAAACATACAAATTCTACCTACACGTAAAATATATCATAGTATCCTTTTATAAGAGGCTTAATATCTCTCTTTCACCGGAGTAATTTTTCATGCTGATATACACTTGTACCGATACTTACTTAAGCATTTATCAACCTTTTACAGGGGATTCATCCCTTCGTCATCATGTGAACTCAGCATAAGAAATCCGGTAAGAACACAAATATAAATGGTTTCGCTTTAAATTCAATTTAAATCATAAGTAGTTTTTGCAAACTCTCAACACACATACAGCATTAATTGAGTTCAATGAGATTCCATATTAAGAAAGATAATATTTAGGAAGAAAGCATCATATTATATTATGACCTGCAGCTTGAGCTTTGGTGCAACGGATTCTGTGGTTTGTGGCTCTTGAGGTGCAGGGGTACCATGTGAAATGGGAAAGATTAAGATATGAAGCAGAAAGTTTGCTGTGAGTAGGTGGTGAGAAAGAGGAAGGAATGGTGGTTGATACTAAGAAAGCCTCCATAGGCATAGGAAGAAGAATGTGTAAGGGATCGAGAATGGATGGGAAGGGGTGGGACGAGGATGTGAATGTGTAGTTCTGATCATGTTATGTTATGTTATGTTATCCATCTGCAACTTCAATCATTGTCACCAATGTCATCCCCTACTGTGTGTGGATATAATGCACCCCAACAAAACCAGAACTTTTTCCACAATTTCCTGGAATAAGCACTTCTGATGCACCCCTGGAAGTTCTCATGCACAACTTTTAATTTCACACTATACAATTACAACATTTTTGCCAAAAGCACGGATAATCTATTCCATATATAAAGTCAACATGTTCTTTATTAATTCAAGGACACAAGCACCAAAATTTTACTTGCTTTATTTACCTTTTTATTTTTCATAACTATTTTATATTATTGATTGTATTAAAACACATAAATATATACTATTATGCACACATTAAAGGTTGACACGATTCTTAGATGAAATTCTACAAAAAAAAATTATTTAACAAATTTATCTTAATAATATCTAAAAATTATCTTAAATTCTTTCTTCCTTTATAGTTGAAATTATCTTATTAAATTTAATATTAATGTTTTAAATTTTCTCTTTTTTTTATATTCTTATTTCAAAAAATTTAAATTTTTTTAAATGCCTTTACAGTTTTGATTCTAGTATACATAATTATAAAATATTATCAAACAAACATGATTTAATTTTTATTTTTTGGGTTTTCTTTTTTTATCTTTAATTTGAATTATAAGAGAATTTTTAAGGAGTAGATGAATAATTTAATTTTTTTCACAACTTTTCATAAATCTTCTTCATTTACATAAGATTGTATTCTCACTGATCATATTTTTTTCATCAAAAGTGAGAAATCTATTTCTCTTTCCATTTTATAGTTCTAGGAGGAATATGACAACTCTAGATACCTATTTGTTGGATTTTTAGATTTTAAAAACATATTTTAAAAAATAAAAGATATATTATTCGAAGAAGTTTTCATCACATATTTTTCATGTATTCTATATATAAAACAAAAAATATATTAAAATATTAAATATTAATAATATCTTAATTTTAACTTATTAAATAAAAATTCTAATACAATTTTTTATTTCTCTAAACAATGTTTCAAAACGTAAAACATAAAAATATTCTAATAATTAATTTAAATAAAAATAATAATAATAAAATATATATTCTCAACTCCTTATCTACGTAATGTATTTGATAATTTATGAGCAATTGTTTTGTTCCTAGTCTAATTTTATTATGTTCTTATTATATATATACAGAGAGAGATAAATATAATGAATATGATAATATTTTGGTGTGATAAGTTTAATTATTTATTAATGGATATAAATATAAATTTAAGTATCTTGTTTTTTTTTTATTTTAATTTGTCTTTTCATTTTTGTTTGTTATTGTACCGTATAAATCCTTGATATAATAAAAGTTCCACTTAACAAGGTCACAAATCATATCACATGACAACGCCCTTAAAAGATTAGTAAGTTCTAAGAAAAGAGGTAATAAATACTTTTCCTCCAATAATAATAATAATAATAATAATAATAATAATAATAATAATAATAATAATAATAATAAATAATAATAATGTATTACAAACCCCTAATATCTCCCTCATCACTAAATTAGGTGTTGGAGTATTATTATAGGTACTTTTTTTGGATTATAACCAGAGGGACTATCCAGACTCGAGGACACCTCGAACCCAATAACTTTCTTGACCTAAGGACCAACAAAACTAAAATATCGCACAAATCCAAAAAATATTGAGAGAGAATTCAAAACTACGTCTAAAAGTTAGTGTTCAACTTTGTAGAGACAGTTATCCTATTAAAAACATCTCTAATGGAGAATGTTTCCACAAATTTTTAAATTGCTTGAAGCAACTGTCGCATTGGAGAAGATGACATAACATGAAAAATTGTTTTAGTTGAATAAAAATTATTCCGTGAAGCACTGGTTCTATCAAATAAAATATTAATATTTTAATATCTTACACACACAAAATAAACCAAAATAATTAATTATCAATCACCAACAATAATAATCATCAATTAACAATAATTAGTTTCATATTCAAAATTAAAATATATAAAATTGTAGCAAAAATTGCCCCACTGAGTAAGCCGCAAATGCAGTAGCGGCCGCAGATGCGGTAGCAGTAGCGGCCGCAGATGCGGTAGTAGTCGCGGATGTGGTCACGACAGTGGTAGCGGATGCAGCAACGGTCGTGGATGCAATGATAGTGATTGCAAATGTAGTGATAGCAACAGTAGATGCAGCAGAAACAAATGTGAATAGTGGACGGGAAAAAAGACAAGGACACAGAGGCGGATGTGGAGTGAACAACGAAGGTGGATGCAGAGGTGGAGGCGAATGAGAACAATGGCAATGGACAACAGACGCAAGGGGAAAGAGGATGGATAAGTGGCAAGGAGAAACGATATATGAAGAATGAAGTGGAGAAAGAAAGTTGAAGGAGGAGAAAAGAGATATTAAGTGAGAAGAAACTAAAATGTAGGACACAGAATGGATGCACAATTGAGTGAAAGAAGTTAAAAATAAAATTGGACAATTAGATTAGTAAGAGAAAAAAAACTGTTAGATGTTTCTGTTATTAGTCCTTGAGAAGTAATTTCAAATTTAATCGTTTAGTAGTCGTTCACTTGCGGTTTTTTTTATACTATAAAACCACATCAAGGTAAACAAATTTTACCTATCCTTATTAATCTCTTACAGGTAAAATTTTTTTAAATTCTTAAAATTATATCTATTCAGCACCATATTTTATATTTCCACCACTTCTAATAACATCAAATATGAGTAATATTTATCCTTCATCCAACATAGAACATTCTTCCCTAATTGAACTCAATAATATTCAACTTGATGGAAACGATGAAAATATGTCTCAAGAGAAACCTTATGTAGCATTCTCAATACCAGAGGATATGATTATAATTCAATCATGGTTGAATGTGTTGAAAGATCCAATTATTGGAGTTTATCATTCATTAACTCAATGTTGGGAATAGATCAAAGAAGCATACAACAATAATGACGAACATAGCACTTTCACAAAGAGGTAAGTGAGTCAATTTAAATATCAATGGAGTAAGTTTCACCTTGCAATTCAAAAATTTAATGCATGCTACAAGTAAGCTACCAATCAAAAGAAAAGTTGTTGGGCCGAAAAAATGTTATGTCATTCGCACGTAAGATTTTCATAAAAGATTCAAAAGTAAAAAAAATGAATATAAACATGTTTGATTGTTGTTAAGAGATAAACCAAAATGACAATTAACATCTATGGATGATTCTTCAAAAAGATACAATTAACTAACTCAGATTACCCATTGAAGTTAAATAATATGACACAATATCTTATCCTATAGGACAAAAGGCAACCAAGAGAAAGAGTAAAGGAAAATCTAATGCAAGTGTTACTCCCCAAATTGATTTATCTGGCATAGAAAGTGTAACAAAGGAAAAAAATTTATAAAGTTTGATGAATTGATTGAGTTAAAGAAGTCACAAGATATACATTTGGAGTATAAAATTCTCGTGAAAGAAACATCTAACATGTCTGAGAAGCAACGTGAAGATAACAAACAATATTGTAACTATATTAGATAAAAACAAGGGATTTTAAATATATTAGTCATTATGATAATTAATTGTAATCGTTAAAAAATATATTAGTCGTTATGAAATAAAAATGACCATCATGAAAATTAGTCGTTATAAAAATTAGTCGTTGTAAAGATTAATCGTTGTAAAGATTAGTCATTATAAATATTAGTCATTGTAAAAACTAATCATTGTAAAACTAGTCGTTATTAATCTATATATGATTATGAAGTGTTATGCAATGTCTCACATCTTTTAGTATTACAATATTATTCTCTATTTTCAAACACTTCAATTATCTATATAATGGATTTTAAAAACATTGATTTAGACGCATTTTGGATCAAGTCATAAATGAAGAATTCGAAGATAACAATGATGAAGAAATCATGAAGTTATTACTTGAGTACCAACAACAAGTCGACAATAATGGTGGTAACTGACAAAAAAGAAAAGTAGTTCATTAAAATCGTGAAGAAGATTATCATCGATTGTTTAATGACTATTTTGTTGAAAATCCTATATACACGAAATCTTAATTTCTAAAAAGGTTATGCATGTGAAGAGAGGTTTTTGTAAGAATTGTGAAAGTCCTTGGCAATCACAATGATTACTTTATACTAAGGTTAGACGCAACACAAAAAATAGATTTATCACCCTTGTAAAAGTGCATTATTATTGTTCACATGTTGGCTTATGCTCACTTTGTGATAATGTAGAGGAATATATTTGAATTGATGAAAGCACTACGGTAGAATGCTTACAACAATTGTATCAAACATTTGTGCAATCTTTGGAAATGAGTATTTAAGGAGGCCTAACAACGAAGATATTGATCGACTACTACAAATGAGAGTGACACATGATTTGTCAGGTATGTTAGGATCAATTAATTGCATGTATTGAGAATGAAAAAATTGTCTAATTGCATGGAAAGGTCAATTTTATCAAGGTGATCATGCTAACTTGACAATCATTCTCTAAATTATGAGATCATAAGTGTAACACCCCTTTCGAGATGCCACGCGTAAAACTTTTTTTTTAACAATTCTTTTATCTCAAATAATACTTGTTAAAATATTAATCTGAAACCTCTTTATTTGTTAAAATAAAACATTGTTTGTTGGAAAATTAATAATAATAATAATAATAATAATAATAATAATCCTGATTTTGATTCTAACAATCAAACATAAACATAATCCCATACTGATAAACATGTTGTAAACTGAATGCGAAAGCGTACCTGAATTAGCCATAACGATGATGTCTTTGTAGAGCACTATATTGATCTTATGGTCTTCCACTCGAAGAGCACCTGTATTTCCCTCTTGATTTTCTCTCTTG